TCACATTTACATGATTACACGTGGACATGAGGTGGTGGAATAGCGACTGTTGGAGGGTTGGAACGATCTTGGTGGGCACCTTCACATGTATTGTTGGTATGGTTTTGGTTAATGAGTTGGTGCGTTTTGTTGAATGATTTTACTTGATTTAACGATGACGTGGTGAATCTGCTAGATCTGGTTGGCCCATTGTCCATGGGTCACACACTTTTTCTAGTTCTACTTAATCTTACGTGTTCAAAAAGTGCATCACCTTACTAACCGTTTAGCCAACCTTCGATTAATGAGCAAGCAATATTAAGACCCGTCAATTTATACATATGAGTATGGAGGGATCTATCAATGGAGCGGATTTAGATCCGAATCGATTAGTCGGATATGAATTGAATAAAAAAATCGATAATTCGATTACGATCCGAATCCGATAATCCATTAACTTAACAAATCGAATATAGATTATACTGATCCGATCCGTTAATAATCCGATCCAATCCAATTAAAATTATATATATAATTATTTACCAATAATTTTATATATATATATATATCAATACTCCTATTAAAATTGTATTAGAGGTAACCCAAAAATCCAAAAAAGAAAATCATAATGTTATATATACAGTAATGTAATGTTCTTATCCACATGCTAATAAATCTCTTAATATACATATTAATAGTATCATACTCTTTATTTATTAACAAAGATTAAATAATTTATAATATACTATATATCAATGTTATATATATTAGTTATATATTACTAAATTTATATATATTAATTATTTATCATCATATTCATTTGATTACATAGTTATATTATGTAGTAGTATTCTGTATATTAGCAATTATTCGCTTCATCTAACTTTATTATTATATATGTTATTAAATATGATTTTAATTGGAATTCGAATCCAATTCGATCTGAGTCTGAGCTAAATAGAATATGGATTGGGACATTCAATCCGAGAACTCGTTAGTGATCTAAATTCGATAATCCATTTGCTTAACAAATCGGATATGAATTTGATCGATCCGATTTGAATCCGATCCGTTGATAGGCCTAACCATTTATAGCCGGTAAGTGAATTAGGTGCACACAAGTACAATACAAACACAAATATTGTGTTTCATGATTGTAATGATGATATTGCGAATTTGGATGACAAAAAATATTAATTTGTCCTATATTAAATTCAGATAGAGAACATAATAATTTAAATTTTTGAGTTAAATCGAATCGCGAAACACCAAAAAAAAAATATATATATATATATATATACAGGTCCACAACACATTTGTCTATCCTACATGTTTATGTTCAACTTTTTTAAAAATGTCAATAGCTAGACCATTTTTTAACTTCTATCACATTACCGAATACTAACAAATGCCCCTTGTTTTCTTGTAAAATAATCATAAAACTTTAGACGTGTCGAAATATATAGTAGATGCATGCACATAGATCTGCTGCAAATATATTTCATTTTTCTAATATGTTCAAATTCCTAAACATTATCGTTTCAACTTGCCATTATATAATTTCAATTGTAATTCAGTTGTCATATAAGTCAAAAAAAATTAATTTGAGGTTCAAGTTGATGATTAAATTATTAGAATTTTAGCAAAAAGTAGAAATTAAAAATATAAAAAATAAAAAATAAAAAGGAGGAGGAAAAAGGAGGCAATAAGTGAAGGCACATGTGGTGGGTTGTGGATGGGTCGGAAAGGAGGAAGGAAGAAGCTAGCCAACCAAATCAAATAATTCGATTCACGTGCTTGTGATCGTTTTGGGTTCATTTGCTGCATATATATATATATATATATGTGTGTGTGTGTGTGTGTGTGTGTGTGTGTGTGTGTGTGTGTGTGTGTGTGTTAGTTTTTGAAACATCAAACTCCCTCCTTTGTTCTTTTTACTTTTTGACTAAGTCTCTAAGCCGTCAAGTCTACATGCCTTTAAGCTTTTGAATGTGACATTACACCATATCCAATTATCCATACATTATATGTGTGTGTGTATACATCCATCTATTTGATTTCTCTGTTGGGAAAGGTATGTTTAAATGCTCTTGATGATCTCTAATGTACCTTTGAAAAAAGTTGTTAAGTTAATTTATCATTGACCCCATTCTTTGTGCAAATTAAGGATGCCATATAGTTAATTCCATTGGCAATTTTAAAAATATAGTTACTTATCAAAAAATAAAATAAATTAAAAATATAGAGCAAGACAGTATGTGTGTGTGTGTGTGTGTGTGTGTATATATATATATATATGTATTATTAAAGTACTACAATTGATGAAACGAATGAAGTCTCTTTTGGTGTTAGCCTCCTTTTGTAGAAAGGAGTTCAATTCTTGTATGTGCACCACAATCATTTGTCTTATGAATGCTACCAAAGATATTTAATAAGGTTGGTCCAATTTCTATTCGCTTCATTCAATTTTGTTCACACCATTTGATTTCCACCTTATTAAAAAAGGTTTGTTTCATGGTCTATTTTGATTAGTTAATTGCGCAACGTCCTCAACAGTTCCATAGACATATTTTTTAGGAAAAAATAAAGGCTCCAAGTAATTAATCGAAGTGGAATCTGAGTTTTATTTTATGTATTTACTTTTGCACTTCGAGTAGGTTGGATGTGTTTATATGCTAAAATTAACTTGCAAATACATGGTGTCCTCTTGTTAAATTGACCCACAATAAATTTTGGTCTTATGATGTTCAACGTCACTCTTTGTAATAATGGTAAAAGTATACTTAGTTAAAATTAAAAGGGACATATAAACGTTCCCTTAATAGAGGTTTACAAACTCTTGAGATTGGTAGAGACTCACCAACCAAAGATACGGAGTACTGTGGAGTAAGATTGAGTCACCCAATATGAATTTTTTACATGATCGCAATTACATGGTTTGATCCAATCGCACATAAATTTGTCAATTTTATTTAGTTTGTTTTATTATTATTAATATTATTTTTTTGTATCAAGTTATGATTGATCGCGATTATTTATAAAAAACACTCGTCACGCGAGAGGCACCCTCATGGGTCCACCCTTTATTATTTTTACTTCAATGCCATTGCATTCCTCTAATTTAAAATGAGTAATGATAGGGTTCAGTGTCAATGCGTTCCTCCTCTTTCAATTGGCGTCTAATTTAAAATGAATAATGATTAAAAAAAAATCTTAAGACAAATTTGTCAAAAATATTAATGACATCATATGATGTCATTCCCCATCCACATAAATCAATCAAACTCTATATTATTATTTCTTTAAAATTTATCTCATTACCCTCTAAGAAGGATTCGCATGAAATTTTATTTGACAACTTTTAATAAAAAGTAGAGTAGATTAAGAGGTAATTTTTTTTTTTTTTTTTTTTTTTTTTTTTTTTTTTTTATCTTTAAAACAAGAATGTTAGATTATAAATTAATAGGTACAAATATTCGAACACTAACTCTCAAAGAATGACATTTTCGAAATAGCTAAGAATTTAAATACGTCACAATAACATTTTTAACATCCATGTAGCTAAGACTGAACTAATACAAAATCAAAAGCTTTTTCCATCTTGAATTTTTGTTTTAAAAAATATATATAATAAGTCCCACATGACATGTGCTGAAGTTATTTGCTCTGGAGCATATCTGATGATCACCCGCCGGGCACATGTCCATATCCTTTTATCTAATATTATGTGCTTTAACAGGCAACGAACAACCAAAATACTTTACTTAAAAAATAAAAAAAATTACTATTTGACGACGTGGCTACTTTAATGTCAAGTATAATGGACCCATCTTATTACAATCCAAATACAATTCTACAAATATATTTTTTTTTTTTTTAAAAAACACAAATAGCAACATTCCCGGATAAAAAAAGAACAAATCGCAGCACTTTAAATAATTGTACACAACGAAAAAAAATTCACTTTTGTCCTCCTCACTCAATATTCTGAGTCCGACCTTGATTATCAACCAAATTTGATACTTCTGGATTAGTGAATCTTTAGAACTAAAAAGTTAAAGTTTGAATTCAATTCTTTTTTATTTAAATCACCAAAATATCATTACAAGTACAGAAATCCTAGGTTAAAACTTTTGATCTCGCTTTTCTCCCTTGTTCCTTTATCTATCCTTTTTTTTTTTTATCTTCCTTGTCATCTTTTCTCCTTCTCAATCCATTCAAATCCACACCTTTCAAAACCCCAATCTCATTCAGGTAAGTTATCCTTCATCATTTATCTTCTGTGTGAGTTGGGATATATTTACTTATTTATTTTGATAAAGTAAGTTTTGTTGAGATAATGTAATTAGTTTTTTTTTATTGACATTAGCCAAGGTTTAATTAATAAATATTGACCTTTCTCTTATTCGTCAAATTACTAAATTAATAAATTATGTCGCCCTTGATATTTGTATGTAAATAAAAGATATTTTCCCTTCATTACCGAATTAACACAATTAAAAAAACTATTAATGTTAGTAATTTTTATATTTCAATTCTACTTGTGAATGACATGTTTATTGTAATAAAATATAATATATCTAAGAAAATGAATATAATTATAAATCGGACAAATTTAATAGAAAATGTGAGTAATTTGACAAACAAGATGGGAGCTTAGTGTCTATTGGTGTATAGTTATGACATATGTTGTGAGTTTCATCATTTTTTTTAATTTTTTTTTTTAACTCAGAACTTCTCGAGCAGGGCCCTCTGGACTCATCCCAAGTTATAAACCGAGAGTGTTGCAACCAGTCCCACAGCGACAGACCGAGGGTGCTGCAACCCGCTACACAGCAACAGCATCGTTAAATCAATGGTTATAACAGGGTGTTGGGAAGTCGAACCATGGACATGTTGGAGTGGGGCCCACTTCCTAAAACACAAGAGCATCTGGTTACAGGTTTAGGATTATAGGCCGTTGCACATGTGATTCCTTCCCTTAGTCCCCACTCCTTCCATAAGTACCCCCACCGTCCTCCCGCTTTCCTTCCATTCGCCCCCAAAACCCTCTTATCGTTCTCTCTCTCTAAAACGCACATACACACACGCAGTCTCTCTCAAACCCCTCTTGAGTGTGAAATGGCCCTTATGAGAGTGCTCTGCGTTGCTACTCTACTTTCCATTGTGACGGTGGTTTACGGTCGGATCCCCGGAGTTTACACCAGTGGGTCGTGGCAGAGCGCCCACGCCACCTTCTACGGCGGCAGTGATGCCTCTGGCACTATGGGTATTTTTCCAGCTCAAATCTAACATATAACATCTCTCTCTCTCACACACACACACATATATATATATATTAGCTCTTACTCTGTTCTTCCATTTACTTCCAAAGGAATACCCCTTACTCTGTAGGTACTCTGCTTCTCCCCTGTATCAAACGGTCGGCATTTTTCCGCCATTTTATCCAAAACCCTCACCAACCTCCATTTGTCTGCAAATCTCCAAAAACAAATGCCATCCTCTTCTTTTTCCAGCTAAATGTACAGCACCCACTTGTAATTTTCCAAGCCCCATTAGCACAAAAAATTTCGACCTCAACTATGTTACACTTGATGTTTTATACTCCTAAACATCATATATGTGAATTTATATTCAAATTTGTGGTTATACATTATGTAATTAAGAGATAGATGGTCTTGTAACCACTTATTGTTCTTGATTTGCTCAGGCGGTGCTTGTGGTTATGGGAATCTGTACAGCCAAGGTTATGGTGTGAACACGGCCGCTCTGAGCACAGCCTTGTTCAACAATGGCCTGAGCTGTGGTGCCTGTTTTGAGATCAAATGCTCCGATGACCCAAGGTGGTGCCACTCCGGCAGCCCCTCCATCCTCGTCACGGCCACTAACTTCTGCCCGCCCAACTACGCCTTGCCCAACGACAATGGCGGCTGGTGCAACCCTCCTCGGCCCCACTTCGACCTCGCCATGCCCATGTTCCTCAAGATCGCCGAGTACCGCGCTGGAATCGTTCCCGTCTCTTTCCGCCGGTGAGTCCCCAAAACCGAATCTGTTTTTTCTTCTTATCCTTTGCTTTGCTTCGTTTCCACGTCTTGTGGGTCAGGTCTGTTGCGTCAGTACTGTTACGGCTCCATTTCTTTTCTCTGTAAGTACAATAATGTCCTTTTGTCTTGCATTAATTACCTACATAACTGAATTTATCCATTGTTTTGGAATACGTAATGGTCCGCGTTGTGGGTCAGATTCCGGCCTTTTTCCTCACCGTGCCTCAAAACTTTTTTGCCTAGACTGAAAACGCGATTTTGTGTTTTGTTAAATATACCGGGCATAATTTTCAAATGATTTATCAAATAAAATAAAAAAACCTAATAGAATGACAAATTACAAATTTTAACTTATTAATCTTGGATGTTTTTATAAAACTATATTCCTTACAAATTTTCTGCTACTACTTTTCAGTGGTTTGTCTTTTCTATATCAATGAGAGAGATGGGTATATTTGTAATTAGACATGCATGAGGTGATCTGGTAAATTTACCTCACCGGATTATCAGGATTCGCCTTTCGGAGAATACGAAACGTGTGTTATGGTGTCCCACGCGACTATTGGCTCAGCTGACCGACGGTGGTGATGTGAGATGAACATTGGAGTCTGTTTTTTTGTGGGGTCTATTATTTTACCGGAAAACCGGTCAACCTAGGGTTCTTAACCGCCTAAAAGTCCTCCAATACGAAATTAAATTAATTAATTTATTCTATTTTTAATTTAATAGGTATATATTTTTGTTGTACAGAGTACCGTGTCGAAAGCAGGGAGGGGTGAGATTCACAATAAACGGCTTCCGTTATTTCAACTTGGTTCTGATCAGCAACGTCGCGGGTGCAGGGGATATCGTACGGGCCAGCATCAAAGGGTCCAACACCCAATGGATGCCCCTGAGCCGCAACTGGGGCCAGAACTGGCAGTCCAACGCTGTCCTGGTGGGCCAGTCTCTGTCCTTTAGGGTCACAGGCAGTGACCGTCGCACCTCAACCTCATGGAACGTGGCACCAGCTAATTGGCAGTTCGGTCAGACTTTCACGGGAAAGAATTTCCGCGTTTAAAGAAGATTCTCCCTCGAATTATAATCTATATTTGAAAGTTTCCCTCCTTCAGTTTTCGCTTTTTTCCCTAGAAAATTTGAAGATGGTGGTTGGATGGTAGTAGAATAGAGAAATATAGCAGAAAATATGTGGTAATGGTAAAGTCAGAAAAAGTGAGTGTGGTAACTTTAACTTTTTTACTTTTTTTTAACTTTGAAGTGGGATTGTTGTTTGTGGGGCTGGTGAAAGTAAGAACCAGCAAAGGCCAAAAAAATGTGTTGAGGCTGAAGTGGCTGCAAGAAAAAAGTTTGTTGCCCGCAGCTCCATTTATATGTCTAGGGTTATATATATATATATATAGATTTATATGTAATTGTGGTATTGTCAATTGTCTTTAATGAGAAGGTGTATGATGCACTATTGAGTTTATCAGGTGGTGTTTGGAAATTATTTGCCAATTTTTAGACTTGTATTGTGTGTGACTTGTGAGGTTTGTTGAAGGTGCATCACAAAGCACCAAATCAAAATTTAGTTAGAAACTTGAAAAGGGATGTTTCTTGCACACCTTTTTACATAGAGGGTAAAAGTGATAGGTATACTTCAGGAGTGTTTCTTACACCTACTCCATCAAAATTTAGTTAGAAATTTAAATTTAATTTTTTCAAATTCTAATTTTAAGGTGCCCAATTTGAACATGGCATTCACCAAATTTGAATGTCATAAGAGACACAAAGATAAGATCCTTTTAGTTGCTTCCAAGTTAATTCAATACAACGTTTTTTTTGCACATAACACCTTGAGAAGACAATGTAGGTAACCACAACGTTTCTAGTAATGCAATGTTTGTATACATATATGATGATTGACTTGCATAATTGTTATCAAAATGTATGTCATAAGAAATGATCAAATAGACTCCGAGGAACCGAAAAGACCGGATGGTTGGAGTCGTTGTAGGTCTAAGTGGGTCTGTAAATGTTAAAAATAAATAAATAAAATAAAATAAATTATACTCTGAAGCAGGAATATGTAGAATTGAATTTTGAAAGAGAATTTGTCCTAAACAAAGTAACAAGAAAGCTGATAGAAATATGACATGAAATAAATACAGTTAGGTCTGATTTTGTGAAAGAAATATGAAATGAATGACAAATTGACTCCTTTAAATGTTTCTCTAAATTAAAGAAATAAAATACACAATGATGAAAGCGATACAATTGACTACATTCATTTTCTATATATGTTCCAATTGTGAGTGAAGGGAATATATAGAAACACAAGTGACTAGGGGACAGTCTTCATCCAAATGGGGGTACTAATGTGACAAAATAATGGTAGGGCGGTGGTGGGTAGGCCTGTCAAGCCCCAAAAAAAAAGTGAGTTGAGTGTAAAACCCAATCTGGATTGAAAAGAGAGAGAGAATGGTATTTATACCTCATCTTTCATTTCCACAACCCCTTTCGGTATAAAAAAACAATTCTCCTTTCTTATAAGTGTCTAAAGTAAATAGTAATTGCAACAACCATCGACCGCCAAACATATCTTCATACTATGATTCTGTGTTTCTAATACTGTGCACTTGATATTATGGATATTAATATTCTTGTTTGTCAATGTATTTACAGAAAATTGTTCTTATGTTACGCATACCATTGATTGGTTTGCTCTTTTTACTGTTTTTTTTTTTTTTTTTTTTTCCTTCTCCTCCTCCCAAATGGAATTAAAGGTTTCATAATGTCAATGGCAATGGAATTTGAATATAGACTGAAACGTTGATTTATGGGTTTGAGTTTGGGAATTTTTCCAAATGGACAAGTTAAAGTTTAGTCCAGAAAGTTGGGAATATTAGAATGATCATTCCAACCACAAATGAAAAGTTTTGGAAGAAGCATATGTCCTCCTTATTAAACATATATTAATTCATACGAGTATATAAATTAGCTAATGAAATAATAATAATAAACAGTGAGTTTTTGGAAGTTGAATACACTTTACTGAGGATTGTTTGATGAATGTATGGTCTGGATTACTTTTTTTTTTGCTTATTTGTAGTTGTTAGGAAGTAGACATATAATTAAAATTCCACCATTCTTGAAAAATAAATAATGAAAGAGAAATGGATATTCACTCAAAAATAATTTTGAGACCCTTGTTTCTCTTATGGCAGAATAGAAAATGTGGGAAATATTTCTTCTGAATGCGCATATGCCCCTCGCGACTGAATAAAAAAGACACTTTCTCATGCTAGTTGACTCTCTGTGATCATTTTGATCCACTTTGAAGTTGCATTGTTTCCATGGACCCATTTGTTTTACCCACAGTTCGTATATTTTCTTGCAATTTTGGCGGGCCTGACTCCCCAAAACAGAGGGTCGGCCTGGCCTGGCCCAGCCAGGTACAAATATGGTACCTACAAGTAAAAAGTATTCTCATGAGTTTAATTATGTAAAAATTGTACCATTTTTTGTGGATAAAAATATCACTTTTTGTGCATATATGTATTATTTTTTATGCAAACTATTTTTTACGATCAATGATCAAAATTTATATATTTACTTATTTATTTAATCACAGATTTGTTCGGAAGTTGAAACTAATAAAATGAACAGTAGTTTTTCATATAATTATTGAAAACTATATATATTAAAAGTTAAGAAAAGAAAACTATATAGATAGTAAATTAATAATGAATATTTACAAAGAGTTGAAAAGGAAATTGCACGAAGAACCTGTCAACCCATTTTGTTGGAAGTAATAATCTAAAAATCAATTCTAGGATCGAAACAATCATACGCTCTATATCGACTACCATATCCCAACCTTTTATCAAACATATAGAATAGTGCGTATAAGCTTATTAATGGAACAATTAAGTTGTTGAATTTGAAAAGCCACTATCTCCAAAACTTTTGTCACCCTAACTCCCACACCCACTCGTCTCAGTACACTATTACTCATGACTATCACTAGTGTTAATAATACACTTCTAACATTAATCAAGAAAGTATTGTTACAAGACCCTTTAAATAACTGATCACTTATTTATAGTCTCACTACTATTTAGAACTTTTCACACATTTAAATATTTACAACCCTTCAAAATTCTGTACTATTCTACTCTCATTTCTATTTTTTATACATATCTATAGTTTCTCCAAATTTTCAATTATCTACAGTACTCTGCAATCTCCACACAATTTTTGGAACACTTCATAACAACTCTTCACATTGTGTCCCCTGGGTGAAGTAGCCTCCCTGCAATTAGGTGGGGCTTGACATAGTTGACCCTTTGTGATCATTTTGGTCTAACTTTGAAGTTGCATTGGTTCCTTTGGCTTATTTGTTTCACCCCCACTTTCATCCATTTTCTTGCACTTTTGGCATAGATGAGAACTGCTGTGCCATAGAATTCTGGATAACAAAAACCATTGATCCGTAATTTATATTTTTCTAATAATTAAAACATACTGTACATAAATCCTAGGCCTAAAAACAAAAAAAATACTTTTTGTCCTTTTTAATCTGGGAAGACATGAGATTCTTTTAGCTTATTTGGAGAATTAAAAAAATAAATCTTTTTAACGTCCATAATTATGGTCTCAAAGTTTATTAAAACTTTAGTTCAACCTACATTATTGACCCCATGACCCTACGGAATATAAGTTTATAACTCGGTTTTTTTAAGTCGGTCTAAATAGCAGTACTCTTATAACAATACAAGGCGCAAAATTTACGTGACATTGTTGGTTAAGAATGTACATGTGCACCATTTGTTTTGGCTGCAAGTAGATATCAGGAGAAGACACTCTTAATTCTAATTTGGGAATAAATGGAGAAATGAGTAGTCCAAAATATTCAAGAACTTTCATATATTGGGGAGGCATTGAAATGATACTCGAATAAGGTCAAGACAAACTCTCAACAACAATTTAAGAAAAACTAAATACACCCTCAATAACACTCTCTCCAGCTTTCAATTCAAAAAATTTGAATGATAGGTTTTTGTACAACACTTGAGTTATAATACATTAACAAAAACAACTGTACATTGTTTTAAGAAAATATAGTTACAGTACATGCCTGGAACTTCCTGAGTACTGCTTCCACAGGACCAAAGTCCGCCATTGGAATGGCCTTGTTGATTTACAGGTCCTCCTTTTGTGTACCTTTTATCACGCCCTTTGAGTCCTGAAGCTGCTCTAAAGCTGTTACCACCTCATCCATATTTGGTCTGAACTTCGGATCCATACATAAGCATTTAAGTGCAAGGTTAGCTGCCTTTAGGGCCTGACGTCGTGAATACTGGCCTTCGATACGGGCATCCATAACAAACAAAAATTTACGTTTATTTGCCAGATATGGTTTTGCCCACTCCACCAGGCTGCGCTCTCTAGTAGGTCGGTTCCTGTCTACTGCTCGTTTACCAGATAATACCTCTAGAAGAACGACACCAAAGCTGTATACGTCGCTCTTGGCAGTTAGATGACCTTCGCAAGCAAAATGCAACTTATGATCAGAACAAGGAAACACGTTTTTGTATATTTAATCAACTAGCGTTGGTATTTGCAGAAAACAACAATCCACTAGCCTGATATATCATATATGTAATCCTGGGTTAGTACCAAAAAAAATTTAAAAATCCTGGATTTAGCACAAGGAAGAGGATCACAGAGAAAATATCTGGATTTTGCCCACTTCACTAGTCTTGTCTACTGCTCATTTACCAATGATTCAGGGGATCTCAGAGAAAGTATCTCACCTGATTAGTTATAAGCATTCTATTCAAACCCATAATAACCAATAACACATTTAAAGTGAAGCAAATTCCACTATATGGAACTTCAATCACAAAATATGAATAATTTCTCATACTCGGTTTTGCACAAGGTTTACTGGACACATCCATGAAACCATTCAGTATTATTCTGCCTTGGTATTATTATGATGTAAGTGTAACAAATCCTTAAGTTTATAAAATAAGCAAGCAAAATTTACATTCCACAGTGCATATGATATGTATTATCCTTTACTTAGACAGCATACTTAGGTTTACATGAGAACCATGTCACAAAAAGCTATATTTAATTGGAAATGTAATCAAGGAACCAAAATGATAAAGGAAGATGCTAAAAAAAAAAAACCAAAGAAGCATTAGATAAAGTAGAGAAAGATGCATGAAAGCCGTATGGATGAAGGAACTGACACAACAAATTGCAAATGGAAACATACCTGTGGTTAGATACTCTGGAGCAGCATATCCAAAGGTCCCCATAACCCTAGTGGAGACGTGGCTCTTATCACCAGTTGGCCCATCCCTGGCCAACCCAAAATCAGAAAGTTTTGCATTGTAGTTCTGCGAAATTAAAGCAAAAACACAGAGCTATACAAATAAGTCTGCAAGAACTTTAAAATTGCATCAATATATGCTTTTGAAGTTACATACCGAGTCAAGAAGGATATTAGATGTCTTGAAGTCCCGATATATAACTTTTGTTTCAGCATTGTGAAGAAAGGAAAGCCCCTTTGCAGCACCAAGAGCAACTTTCATTCGAATGCTCCAAGAAAGTGGCTGAAACTGAGTCCCCCCTGTTTCAACAATATTTCAACTTGTCAAATTCAAATCATATATTAGGAGCTTAAGAGCTTTGAAGTTAGAATGATAAGCTTTAACCAGAGAATGTACAAATTTGAAATGGCAGTTAACTTAAGGATATGGAAAACTCACTCCTGAATAGATGTTGCTCCATGCTGCCCTTAGCCATGAACTCGTATACCAAAAGCCTATGGTCATCTTCTAGGCAGAAACCAATCAATTTCACCAGATTTGGATGATGCAACTGCCCAAGATAGTTTATTTCTGCCTGTGCATACAAAGATGAAACAGAAACTTAGCTATTCAATTAATCTGAAGTATTCTCCACACAATAGCATTTGAGGGGCATTGGCATCCAAAACAATTACCACTATGAAATTATGAACACCGTCATGGCCACCTCAGCTAGATTTATTGATTGAGTTAGTCTAGTTTAGCAAGTCAAGAAGGCATGATGGACAATTGAATACCCACTTTACAAAATACCCTTGTACACCAAAGTCGTGGTAACTATGGCCTACAAGCACTATAATATCCAAAGAAATAAAATATATCACTTTCCCAGAAGTAGTAGTAGTAGGTTTAAGAAAGTGAAATTTATACTAACCAACCATTCCCTGTGACCCTGCATACCATCTTGGTTTAGCCTCTTCACTGCAATTACCAATCCTGTGCCCGGCTTTGCAGCTGCAAGTGATTGCTCGTCGATCCACCCCTTAAAAACCGAACCAAAGCCACCTTCCCCTAATACACTATCAGGACGGAAGTTTCTGGTGGCAGTTCTGAGATCGTTGAAGGTAAAGCTTTTTAAATTGCTTGACTGCAAGATTTCACCCTCGCTGCGTGGAGCCTGGGATATGGAACCTGATGATACCTTACCACTAGAACTACTTAGGAATTTCCCATCACTGCTGACATTCTTTGAAGTCACTTCACTGCTTACATTCTTTGAATTCACTTCTACAAAAATTAACGAGACATGTTTGCAAATATTAACATTCCCAGACCTAGTCTCCATTATAAAACATCAAATCCTAATCATATAATCAATCCAGCACTGAAACAAAAGTAACACAAAGCATTATCTTTCAATAAAACCCCCTTTAGATAAGCCGATTATTTAATCATATCAAGAAATCAATATAGTCTGCGATCTTGCCGGTAATCTCAATGCAAATGCATCTAAATCCATGATTCAGGGGATCTCAGAGGAAATAATATCTCACCCAATTAATTACAAGCATTCTGTTCAAAAACCCATAATAGCAAAGAACACATTCAAAGTGAAGCAAATTCCACCAAAATGGAACTTCTTATAAAATATGAACAATTGGCTGATAATTTTCTCTAGAATTAGGGATAATTTAGTCAGAATGAAAAAAAAAAAAAAATCAGTATAGAAACCAAATCCACAAAATCATACATAAAAACTTCAAAAATGAACAGTTTGGTTGCTGAGAAATTGACGGAGGGGAAATGAAATCAAACCCTTTTTCCTTTAATCTAGCTAAAGTGTCTTAACTTTCTGGAAACAACAGCTACAGAAATCAAAAGGACGCAAAATTTGTCATCTAATCTTTTTTCTCACAATTTTCCCAGCTACCAAACGAAGTATACAGAAGAATAAATACGAAATCTCAGCAAATAATCGATACTACACATATATTTGAGAGTACCTGCATGTAATGGACTATCGGCATCGGCCTTAATTCGATTGCTCCAACACGCACCCATGGAAGAAAAGAACACCGAAACTCTCATCCCTCTGCTTTAAAGATCAGAAATGAACAAAATTAGGGTTTCGTTTGCAGGAACAAGTTGACAAAACCCAGCTGTTAACCATACATACAAGGTCCGTGAAGGAAACTTATACATAAATGCAATGCGAAAGCATATATTTTTCCTGGATAAAAGTCAGGTCTCAAATGCCCAACTGCTCCCTCTCTCTCTCTCTCTCTAAAAATTCTCTCTCTACAGCTTGTTTAGTTTGACCGGGAAAATTAATCGGTAGGAAGAATTGTCCACACAAGCAATTGGAAATTGACCTGTCCCTTCACTTTGGGGGGTGTTTGGGTTTCGGGAAAAGTGAGAAGAAATACACCTTAACTCTCTTTGTTGTTGATATTTATACAAGTATTTTTCAGACCTTGACCAAACACGGACGGTTGACTTGTTTTTTAATGTATTAGGACTAACATTATTAACTTAGACTAGCTAATGTTTAATGTTACATTCAACAATCTGTCTATGTATCCATATATGTTTCACAGCTGTACAAATTTATGTCGTTGCTTTGTCTTGTTTGTGCTAAATTGTTAGTAATAGATTAGTCAATATGTGTTGGTTTATTTATTTATTTTCGGAAGGTTCTGTGTGTGTTTGTTGACTTCATGTACCTACAATAATATGATCTTTATTGCCAATCCGTGTTTGAATGACGCAACAAGCTTCACATGAATGACTAATTATATATAAATATATATTTTGAAAAATTAACGACCTTTATTACGTTGGATTGCATAGAATTAATATTTTGAATTATGAATTAAAAATAATAATTAGTTTAAAGGTTAAAATAAATTTTCTTTATTTTTAATTACAAGTAACTGAATATAGCAATAAATTCATAAGAAAAAAAATTTAGACATTATCAAACACATTTTAGATTTGTAATTAAATCACTTAAAATTTAACATTACTTAATTTTCAGACTTGTAAAAATATAGGGTGAAATATGTAGCCGACTTAATTAAGTGGTTGGCAGTACTCTAAAACGATTGGATTCTGAATTATCGTCCTAGTTGTAGTGCTAATTGTCTTGTCCAGATTTTTGGACTCCTATACAGAATTCAATCCATTTGGAATTTTAAAAAGAAAATTTGTTATGTTTAATTTTTTTAGTTTATGTGGTATGAAAATTTGATTATATAATGAAGAGCTAGATGAATTTTTTTCTTTAGAATCGTTTAAGAGGGTAATATCAATAAACAATAAGGGGAATAATGCACAACAATTACACCAAGAAAAAATTCCATACAATCTAATCCAGGGCGGAGACATGTAGCTATGGCCCCCTGCCCATGTTGCTCCACTAGATTTTTTTTTTTTTTTTTTTATACATAAATTTGTAAAAATTAATAAAATATTTTCCAAAATGAATAAAATGACCATTTTATTCCTAAGTTCACTAAATTTTATTTTATTTTATGCGTATAATTTGTAAATATTTATAAAATACTCTTATAAAATTTATAAATTATTCCCTATAAAATTATCTATTTTTAAAAAGGTCTTTAAATCTTTATTCATTTTCGTTCTTATTCTTCAAATTTCTTTGTCATCTTCAAAAACTTTTGCATTCTCTTTCTACAATTAAAACCTATTTTTTCTTTCAAAATTCCCTCATATTTTTTTCTTTCTATTTTATTTTCTTCTTAAAAATTTCTTTTTTCTTGCACTCATACATAATTTATGTGCAATAACCTTTTTTTTCTTTTTTTTTTTTCTTCTTATTCATTTTTTTATTCTATTGCACTGTTGTTACACTATTATCTTTTTGGCTTGTTTGAAAAAAAAATATTTTGTCAGTGTTAACATGTCCCCTGAACCAAATTCCCGGCTTCGCTGCTGATCTAATTTGATGCATTTTTTCACCCATGAATGTGAGGTGCTTGACCAATGTTTATCATAATGGGGCAATGGCCTAGCGGTACTTGAGTCCTACTTCTTAAAGAGAGGTTAGTGGTTCGAGCTTCGGTGCAAGCATGTATGCGTGAGTATCAATTAAGAAAAAAAAAAAAAAAAAAAAAAATTATCATCACGGGTTGGACGCTTGTCTTCCCATAACATGCCGGGTATTGGACAAAGGCCTAAGCCCATTTAGCAGCTGCATTGGATCAGTAAGATCCAGCTCCATTTCAGCACTTCCTTTAAGTAAAACTTACTTGACTAGGGAAAATTTCTCTCGCCTTCCTTGGGCCAAAATGTAGAATTCGTCATCGGGCTGTTCATAAAAAACCCAATTTAGAAACTAAAACCCCTTTTCCGGCCCACGGTCATAAGATTTCAGTATATACTATATAGCATGTGGATATCATATCGTGCTTAAAGTGTTATTATTATTATTATAATTTTTTTTTGGTAAATCGCTTATATTAATTTAGGTGTTTTTAGATGATGTTAGAGTTGAATCACACACATAATTTAAATGTAAGTGTTTTGGGGTGATTGATGTTGATATAAAGTTGACACATTTATTTATTTGTCATTGTATAATTGTTCCAAAATCATTATGTAATAATTTATCATGATTGAGAGTTTTTCATGAAATTCAAATTCACGATTCGCTCCAAGAAGTCCCTTAATCACGGGGCATCGTATAAGGGTTTCACATCCAAGAGATCGTTACATTTCTTCACCGTGTTTTCACTAATTGAACAAAATTTGGCAAGATACATATAGATACACACACCCTTCCTATAATTGACCATGATTTGCAATATTGGTTTTGGCATCGGTAGCAGTGTAATGGACTCAGATAAATTCAGTATAAACTAGTCGATACGAATCACATATCAGACTAGAAAAAAGATCGCGTATCAACTGATATATTGTATATGATACGATATCTCGAATCATGCATTTGACACTAAAATTGATACCGACTAAAATTCTTCCAAAATAGAAGTCCTCTAACTTTGTATGATATATGGAACAATTATTTTGACGTTAGAAGTTAGAACACAAAATTTTAAAGTGATCAAACAATGCCCTTTTTCAAATTGACAGTGTCAAACCCTAGATAATAAGAGTCTCCTTAGCACAAGTTGAGTGGTGAGCAAACATGCCAAAGAAAGGATTTGGTATGTTCCCCATTCATCAAACCACTTGGTAACAGAGGTCAGACAACTGAGGTTATCAAGGAAAGACCTATTTTACCCTCAATTTCACAGATCCCTATGTGATCTGCAGGCTTTTCCTTGTACTGTTTTTACTGTTCAAAATTACTCGCTCTCTCTCTCTGAAGTAGGGAAAAAATATAGTACAATACAGGCGTACAACTTTATGTTACCGGTGCTGGTAAGGATTGTTTTGGTGTTTATTACATAAACATTTGGTGATGTTGATGGATCATATCCATGAACCAACGGTGTGATGTTGAGGAGGAGTTGGTGCCCATTGGAGGACAGTTCACTGTTAGCAATCCCTTCACACAACTTTTTCTTTTTCAGAAGTGGGCTCAGTGTGGAGATTAGGGAGGATCTCCCTCAATTTTACAATATGTTTGATGTGTCACAATCATTATTTTTACATTCCAAAGATACCCTTAGTTCTGTAACTGCATAGAGTAGACTATGGCTGGGCTTATAAATGATTATATGTCATTGGGACAAAATTTAGTGAGATTGAATTAAGTATCAATAATTCGATTTTTTCTTAACGAATTGAAATTTTTTTAATTCGTTATTGATTCGTAGGATAACGAATCAGACCGGAGCATATTCATAAAATGATCGATCGAATAGGATCAATTTTGCGAATAAAAATTCTTAAAAATTGTCCAATTTTTTTATTATTATTATTTTTATTTTTTTATTTTTTTACCATTACACACTATATAGTAAAATTTTAATTTATTAATATTAATTCATATATTTAAATGATCATTAACTAATACATTCTTAGATTCTATTAAATGATCGTTAACTAATTAAATTAATTAATACATTTTTTGAATATATATATATATATAAATATAGCGGATCGGATCAAATTTTGACAGCTTAATTCGTGATCCAATTCATAAGTTACGAATTCAATTTTTTTAAATTCGTCATCAATTCGTGGGCGTAGCAATTTGATTCGATCCGCACGGATTAAATTGGATCGAATTCGTGAAATCATAGCCCATCCGTAGAATCTATAAATAAATTGGTGTAGTGAGCACTTCTTAATATGGAAGCTCAGAATTGGATGCAGCATGTTCACGGGCTAAAACTTGTTTAAAAGTAGTAAGCATGCTAGGAGAGCTCTTGCAATTGGATTGAGAGAAATTTACCTTTTAACATATATGGTAAATTACACTGACCAACTTGGATATTAGGTTCAATTATATATATATATATATATATATATATATATATATATGAGGAATAGACCTTTGGAGTCAATGCTCACACAGAATACTTATAGTGAATTGTCTAGTCGAATAATTTTTAATTGGTTATTTATATCAAATACAACTAAGCGAAGGATTCTAATTCTTTATTTGTTTCATAATTTGCAATTATTCCGTGCAAGAATAATTTCCATATACGAATAGATCAGTTCATTGTTTACTTTGATCTCCTTTAAATTTGTGACTTTGAGAATAAAAAGTCAATAATATCCTTATATTATAATAATATATTATATTTTGTTAATATAAAAATTCATGTGTGTAATTTGCTGACCTTAGTGAAGATCAGGATAAGATATTCTATTGTCTTTTCAAATAAGAAAAGGGCAAAATTATTACTTTATAAAATTTGATTAACAAATTTGTTAAAATAAATAAATAAAAATACTAGTGTCATTAAGTACACACATCAAATCAAAAATATTTGTTACAAATGTTAGACAAGATAACTTATTCTAATTAAAAATATATGGGAATTTTGAACCAAATGATAAAGCAATTCACAATCTTATTGATTGAAAGACCATTAATGCGACCATATTAAGCATATTGTTGCTTTAAATTTCTAAAAAAAATTACCATTTAACTATTATGATAGTAATATATATAAATACTCCATATATATTTGTGGATTATGGTGATGTTGAGTTCCTTAGAAGAGAAATTCTCACACATTACTCATTTGAAGATTCAAAAGTCAAATCTTCACAATTTTGAGTCATTGGTAAAATACTTCATAATTAGTTTTGCACATGGCAACAAAATTATCGGAGACTGAAATTTTGTGTGATCACAGACAAGTGGTGCAATTTGAGTTTGGTAATCTGAACCTAACCTGAGTTCAACTTGATTTTTCATGAATTTAGACCATCATTTTTACAATTAGGGTTGTGTTTGGATTGAAAAATCTCAGTTCAAATTTAATTAAGGTTGGACTTGAGTTAAAGTGCTAATAACCCAAGCCAAACCCGAACCTGAATTCTAATATTATTTTTATATATATTTTTACTTTTAAATACATTATATATAATATTAAAACTATGATTAATTTTTTTCTTTTCAACTTCTATTTGTAAATTAAAATATATTGTATGTTAACATTTAGAAAAATTAATTTCCTATAAATTTGTTTGCAATTTATAAAAAGTATACAAAAATTCTTTAAACTTTTTATTGTTTAAGAATAATTTAATCTAAAACTAATTCAAGATCGTATTAATTTTTTGTGTAAGAATTAACTATATGAGTAATCTGAATTAACCTAAGTAAGTTTTTATCGGGAATCCAAACTCGAGTTACAACCCCGTATTTAAAAGTAAAAAGATAGAGTTGGATTTGGATTGAGTAGTTATGGTTGAAGATATGGTTAGAATTAAACTTAATTTTAATATTTTATATAATGAATTAGATTCAAGTTATATCTCAAACCTACCTAAATTGCACCCCTAGGTAATGAAATTTTTTCATGAGTTAGAGGGAGGATTCGCATGTCAATACCACCAATTATTTAATATGTATTACTAATTACATATTTTTTACTTTTCTTTTCGTAAAATAAAATAGCCTACAGCTTTTAGGCCAACAGGAAAATCATATTGATTCATGAAAGATTAGATTCTTTCATGAAAAACATTCACTAAAAAATATTACTCTAATAAGTGTTGACTTGAATGGTTTGTTTTTTGGTCTCTTAAAAACCAATCGTAGTGTGTTCAGATAAACAATATGTAAAAAATGTGGATAAAACCAACACCAAAGAATAGCATAAAGTAAAGGAAATAATGGTGTAATTTCATTAATTATTTAAAAAAATGTGGATAAAACCAACACCCAAGAATGGCAGAGAATTTACGGTGCGTGAGTGTTTTCATTTTGTGTACTTTTTTTAACCCCAGAATTGAATTGAGAGAGAGAGAGAGAGACAAAGAAAAGAAAAACAGACGTAACGTATCACTGACATCTGAGAAGGGCTGCAGCAAAGGTCGAGTCCCTATCAGACTCGTCCCTTTGTGCCGCGAAACCCGGACTACAGTCCCCCCACCCCTCCACTTATTATTGGGCCCCACCTCACTTCTCCTCTTTCTCCCCCTCTTCCTTAGATAATAATCATGCCTGCACTTCTGCACCTCCTCTCTCTATATCGTCTGGCTATACATGTATATATTTATATATAGACGTAGTAGTGAAACATATATGAGTTTTTAGTATCCGTTTGGTTTCAGGCCTACTAATCGATCACAGCTCCCCAACATGATACTGTACTGGTATAATCACAGCTTTTAGACTCGTATGGTGTGAAAATAGGTATTCAACCAGAGTGTCGTTGAAACTCGTTTCATTATAACTTTGTTCACGAGTTGGCTTTACAACTAGGGTACATTACACCCATCTTCTACGAGGTTTAAACTAATTACAAGCGTTTAGTGTTTATTAATTGACATTTAACTAATGTTTGTTGAAATATTCCTTATGTTTTTATATTATAATAATATATATTATATTATATTTTATAAAATTTAGTTACTATGTCTGCAAAATTTTAATAATAAATGTTGAATGGTGTATAATTTATTTAAATTTATGAAGACATCATTATAATTTACTCCAATTAATCCAATTTTATCCCTATTAATATAAATATATTATTAGAACTTATACTGTTTAATAAATTACTAATAAACTATTTTACAATTTAATCAACCATCACTTTTATTTCATCTTTGTCATACTGTTATACTCATCTTAATGCCATGGGAATGGAGGTTTGGCCACATGAATTCTTGGGATTTATAGTGCATTGTTAAATTAGTGTATTGAAATATAAATAAAAATATTTTATTTTAGTAGATGGGATTATTTAATAAGTTAATATATCATGTTATTACTGTAACCGTCAATGCTACTAGCATGTATTGGAAAGATGTGGTGAATAAATTACATTATAGCGTGGCTCAAATATGATAATTAGAGTATTGCAAAAGCAAGACCACAACTTTAACCAAAAAAAAAAAAAAGCAACACCACAATCTGTATTTCTCTCCAGTCACGTCCATGCAGTTGCAGAAAATGGGTAAAGTAACTGGGGGATAAAAGAAAGAGGTGCAGTGAAATATCACAGTGGCTTGACGATGATAGTTTCAACTTTCAATAACTCTGTGCTGCTAACATACGCCCAATGTTTACTATCCCCATTATGGTATTTATATACCCCTTCCGTTGACCAAACCCTTTTATTATTTACAATTCCTTTACAATATTGAATATCTACTGTATCGTATGAAATTGAATAATGAAAATTGTTTTATATAGTAATTGCAAATCTACTATAAATAATTTTCATGAGAATTATTTTTGGGGACCACGAGTGTCCTTTATTTGTGAATTACCTAGCATACAAGATGACACGTGTATGACGTGTCACACTTTCCAATAATGTCCCTGAGTTGTACCGCCCTTTCTGACCCAGGTGGCTCAAGTAAAATTCCCTTCCTCGAATTTACATAGATACATCACTCCGTCCAAACTCTTCACTCTACCATCATGATCGTCGGTTATTATCAATCATAATTTTCTACATCACCGACGTCCGTGATTTCGCTGTCATCTCAGTGTGTCCACTTATCCGTGACTCTATAAAGAAAGAAAATGAGAATCGCGAAATGACGGAATATGGCGCATGTTAAGCGCTGAAATCGAGCGGTACGCCCACTGTCGTTAATGCATTCTCTCTCTCTGCTGCGTTTGCTGCAGCAGTCCGTTTATCGTCTCTCTCTCTCTCTCTCTCTCTCTCTCTCTCTCCACATATATATATATATATATATCATATATGTATATGTATGTACTGCTATAACCTTTTTTGGCCGGAGAGGCACCCAGACGAGCTTACGCAAGCACATTCCTTTAAAGACGTCAGCCAGCGAGGGAGAGACCTTCAAATCTCGACCTTAGCCTTTATTTTTTTCCTACTCCCATTCGCGTGCCCACCTTTTTCGCCACTTTCAGAGCCCTCCCTCTCTCTCTCTCTCTCTCTCTCTCTCTAGACCTTTGTCTTTCTTCTCTGGTCTAATCTTCTGTCTTGCTCCCTCTTGAGCTTTCTCGTGCTTTCTTAATTTTCTCTCTCTAGCCTGGAATCTAGAATTGGAGTCTCTACCAACTTTGTTTTGGTTTTTGTTTTTTTTCTTGCCCTCTGTTTCATTGATAGAGTAATCCAACAGCAAATGCGTCAAAGAATAAGCTCGGTTACTTGAACGGAACTGTAAGAGCTCTCTCCTCCTTGCTTCGCTCACTTTCTTCTTCATACTAGTAATTTTTACGCATTTTTGCTATATATATATATATATATATATAATATATTCAAGTATGGTAAGATGATTTGAGCTGCCTCAAATGGTTGTACGTCTTGTGCTATGACTAATTTTCTTCTTTGAACACTCATGGTACTAATTTTGTATGGATCTTTACATTTTCTGTGTTTTGGAGAAAATTTGATTGCTTGACGTTCAGATTATTGGTTGTGATCGCGTACTGTCTTTTGAAGAAAATTTGATCACAAAGGACATTCTATTTTGCTAGCAAATTTTGATTAAGCAATGATAAGAGAAATTGGGTGTCTGTAATTTGTATGCTATAATATTTGGACTCCCTTTTATGTTAATGTGTTTATAGCAATATTTACATAATATTAACGTTTAATGTATTATAATGATGTGTATGGTTTGAATAAAAAAAAAAAAAATTAATTCTGTTACTCCTTATGGAACTCAAAGTAGTCTTAATTTACTTGATCATAAGCCCTGTTTTTTATTTTTATATTTATTTTTACGATGAGATTATGTGTGTATAATATTTAGAATAAAATGTTTGTGAATTTCTGAGAATTAAATTATGGAAATTTTTTATATCCTTTTTTTGGCGCATAACTACAGTGTTCTGGTAATCTTCATTGAGAAAACACTGTACTGCTATTTGAATTACCTAATTTGCTAATGAATTTGTGATAATCTTGCCTTGGATAAGTTGTATATATCTCAATATATTTTCTTTGATACATAACACTTTCTAAAAAGATTTATTTAATTAAACGAGGGAATTTTATCCTTGGTAAAATCCAATCCTATGGACTAATTCATTCTGAACTTGTTAAATTATAAGACTTTTTGATTAATTTTCTTCCAACCATGTTTTAAGTTCACATGTTAAGTATCATATTCTTTAAAATTTGTTCTTTTGGTACATGTTAACTAAAGAGGTTAAAGATGATGTGTGAAGCTTGTAAGAAGTCTTAGGTTTTGCAGTTGCATTTATTTATTAAAAAAAAAAAAATTAGGGATGATTTTTCAAGGATTTTTGTAGAAATTTCTACCACGGTAGATTATTGTCTTTTTGGAGGATATGATACGAATTAGGACATAGTTCTAATGTTATATTTATGGATATTTGCAGGGCACTTATATACGATCTGAGCCTTGTACATCCTATCAATAATTTCTTTGATTATGTTTATGTTTTGCTGGTTAATTTAAGTTATGCAGTAGCTTTCTTGCACTTAATTTAAGTATTAATAATGTTGTAAATATAGATCAAGAATTGACACTGTACTACAAGTATGGACTATGGACTAATGCTTCTCCATTGATTTTTTATGCACTTGGTCAAAGTGATTCATAGGTTTCTTATATTTTGTCAATGCTCTAGAAATTGTATGAGTTGCTTGTAATAAAGGTGTGAGGCTTTTGAGTTTTTTAGTAAATTCTTTTTCTTTTTGTTGCTGTCGTTGTTCAAGTAGTTTAAATGACTAGATATATAAGCATTATATTACCATGCATATATTTTATCATCAGTCAAGGCGGCATGCATATTTAGAATTTTGGTTGCGCATATTATTCTTAGTAATTCTTGATTTATAGTGTACTTGTGATGCCAAAATATTAAAATGTTGTATAATGTTTGGTTATACTTTGTTCTACTCTCTGTTAATATAATCGATATTAGGTGTGAAGGTAATATGAAATCTTTTGGATCTCATGGGAGTTGGTGGCTATGCTTTTACTTGGTAAACTTGTGTTATTAATGCATTTGACTTTACAATACAATTGAGAGAAATTATAACATGTTGTAGTCTTTCTCAAAGTGTGATTAGAATGACAGTTGGATTTTCCCCATATATCAGCTTATACTGGCTTATGTAATTTTTTTATTATTTATTTTTAGATAAATCCTTATCTTGCTAATTAACTGCATCTTAGTTTACACTATGAATAGCATAATATTTGGATTATTCACATGCTTATGGTCATTCATTATGCAAAATAAGTTTGGATGAAGGATATTTGTTTCAATTTCCATTACTAATATGTTATTCAATTATCTGTCACGAAAACCCATTAGTATGGCGAATTGCTTTTATTCTCGCCGGGGTTTTAATGAATTTAATTAGATGTTCACCTGAACCTTTTAAGTTCTATTGATTTTGTAATTCTACTGCCTATCTACTTGGAGGCATGAGCCAAATGAAAAAGGGTTTATGTATAAGTATAACAAACATAATGATCATGAAAAAGAGTCTTACCTGCAGCTAGATTGGGTATTCGGAGATTGGGATATAGTTTCATGATCATTATTTATCTCCATAAAGGAATAGTTAGTTCTTTGGGTTAGAAGGAAATATTCATTTTAAACTCAATTAGTGTGGTTACTCTGTGAACAGAATATGGTGAATTTTGTGATCTGGTAAACTTTAGGTATAATCTGTTCCCTTTCTTGAGTTCCTTGTGTGACAGAAAATTCAATATCTGTCCTTAATTCGTTGTTCAATCTATAATTAATAATCAAACCTGGCTGCCACCTGACTGTGGTACCATGATTGTACACCAATTTGTTTAATAGGAATCGTCCTAGAAAAAGGCTGAACAAATTAAATGTGTCAAGTCCACTGTAAAATGAGTCAGTTGAATAATGGTGTTCTGCTGGTATACCGTAAAGGTACATCGTCTCTATTAATTGGGAAGTACTTATTAGCTGGTAGACCATATGAAAACACAGTGTGTACGTCGTCTCCATTTATCATTTCCAGTATTTGAAATATTTTGCCTATAATGCACAGTGAATCAGACACCATATTGTGCCCTCATCAGTTCACGTACTCTTTTCTTGTTGAGAAATCCATGCCTAAATTCATCATTGTAGTTCATCATCTCTCTTCATTTTCTTTTGATAAATTGTTCAAGTAAAGAATTGGACAAAAAATGTTTTTGCAGATGGTTAACCTACATTCATTTTTCTAGAATTAACTTTTTGTTAGTGTGATTTTCTTACTCTGCCATTAAATTTTCCCTGTTACATACAGTATGAGCTAATTTCTTCACCCTGTTCTCAATTCTTCAACCCCTCATTGAACCAGATTGATGTTGTTGCACTGTCTTTTTGTTTTCAGACACACTATGAAGACATTGAGGCAATGGGAAGTGGTGTTTGCACCAAGAAATGAAGGACAGACAGAGGTGGCAAGCTGAAGAGGATGCTTTATTACGTGCATATGTGACGCAATATGGCCCAAAGGATTGGAACCTTGTGTCTCAGCGCATGAACACACCCCTCAACAGGGACGCGAAATCCTGCTTGGAAAGGTGGAAGAACTATCTCAAACCCGGCATTAAAAAAGGATCTCTAACAGAAGAGGAACAGCGTCTTGTAATCTGTCTTCAGGCTAAATACGGCAACAAGTGGAAGAAAATTGCTGCTGAAGTCCCCGGCCGAACCGCCAAGAGACTGGGGAAGTGGTGGGAAGTGTTTAAAGGGAAGCAGCAGAGAGAACAGAAGGAAAACAGGGTTGTAGACCCAATTGAGGACGGGAAGTACAATCAGATTCTAGAGACATTTGCCGAGAAGCTAGTGAAAGAGCGTCCTGCCCCATCCTTTGTAATGGCAGCTTCCAATGGGGGATTTCTTCATAGTGACCCACGGGCTCCTCCTCCAACTTTACTTCCACCATGGCTTTCTAATCCCAATGCAACATCCACTGTTAGACCATCAGCTCCTTCTGTAACCCTAAGTCTCTCTCCCTCAACCGTTTCACCCTCACCTTCAATCCCTTGGCTGCAGCCCGAGAGAGGACCAGATAGTAGCCCTCTTGTCATGGGCAGTTTGCCATCTCATGGAGCGGCACCACCTTGTGGAGAGCACCCGCTGATCTCTGAGCTCGCTGAATGCTGCAGAGAATTGGACGAAGGGCACCGTGCTTGGGCAGCGCATAAGAAGGAAGCAGCATGGAGGTTAAAAAGGGTGGAGCTGCAATTGGAATCGGAGAAGGCAAGCCGAAGGAGAGAGAAAATGGAGGAGATAGAGTCAAAGGTGAAAGCTCTTAGGGAAGAGCAGAAGAGTGCACTGGATAGGATTGAAGCTGAATACAGGGAACAGTTATTGGGACTGAGAAGGGATGCAGAAGCCAAGGAACAGAAACTAGCTGAGCAGTGGGCTGCAAAGCACCTACACCTCAGTAAATTTCTTGAGCAGATGGGTTGCCGGCCTAGGCCTTCGGAGCCTAACGGCCGGTAAGAGGATGTGTTATTTATGGTTGACCTGCTCTATTACTTCTCTAACTCTTTGCACTGCCCTCTATCTCGTTCGAACTTTATCAAACTTATTGTATTCTCTATGTTCATTTATATATTAATTCCCTACTGATATTCATAATAGGAATCTACTTTTAATTATATATATCTTCTACAAATGGTGTTGACTGTGCATCTGCTGGTTTAACTTTAGCTAAACCTGCTCTATCTCACATTTTTCTTTCAATGTATAAGAAAAATTCTAAACAAAATGAAAAGTAGTAGTAGTAGGTGGTGGTAAATTAGTAGAAAATATGGTATTGCAATTGATCATCAACATTTACTTTCAGTTTTTTGGTCATGTGGAATATAGCTGAACTAGAGATCCTTTTATGCCTTCGTTATACGTTACGTTTTGTTTTGTTCATAGATGTAGAAATAACAACATATCATCATAGAGCCTGACATATATTGCAATCTTCTAGAGTTCTTAGGTTTGCTTCTAATCCATCCTCTTACTGCCACAAAAATTATGCATTGCTGATGGGATGATACATGCAAAGGTACCAACCGGATCTTGGGGTTAAATATACAACAACTATTCGGTCTTTGTGTTGGGCTATTAGGGCTGGTCAAGCTGCACACTCTAGTTTCGACCCCATCAGCTTATTGGGATTGTCAGGCTTATCCCTAGATCCTAAGCCTAATAGTCTTGACCACTGGACTGATGTTTTGGGCCTCGGCCCATACACCAAAAAAGTTCATTGATAACAACGAAGTCTGATGCTATAACAAGACGACAACCTATCACGGTAGTTGATTGTTTGATAAGGTAAAAAAAACAGGTCAGAGACAGCAACTGGGATATTAATCCCTTTGGATGATGATATATCACATCTTAACCCTATCAAAGGATATGGGTGTTTTCGGGGTGATCCTTTCAACGCATCTCTGCGCGCCTTCAGAAAATCACTTCCACGCCTCCTCCTTTTCACTGCCCAAATGCACACCCACACAATGCACAGTAGATTAGACTCCACCCAAAACACAATGTACCACTATCCACAGTAGATTAGACTCCACCCAATACACAATATTGCACTATCCTCAATAGATATTTATCCAAAACTTCCGTATTTTAGTAAAAACAAATAAATAAATAAATTTCATATTGTTGTTGGTAAATTCGAAGTACCCAATAATTTCACAAATATATTAAGACATTTACTTATTTTTATTATTATTTTTTAATCTTGACAAAAAAAACTTACACATCTTGGACTCATTCTCACCTTTTTATATTAAAAAAAAAGAATTAATTACATTTACACCATTTAAGATTTGCCTTATTATCAGATGAAAGTTAATTTCTTTTTAAACAAAACATTCCCAAGTTCAATAAAGTTAATAAAAACTCTACAATCAACACATATAACAAATGACACAATAAATGACCTAAATACCCTTTGAATTGTCGACAACCATGTTAATTCGTTAAATAACTTGAATGCCCTTGCTTTGGCTTTGGCTTTTTATTTGTCAAGTTCCACATAGTATTGTCATGTTAAAAAATAAAATAAAGAATTGTACGGAGTAGATTACAGTTTGGTCAAAATTAGGCTTACTATTCAGCCATTTACCAAGCGTATTGGGTTGGTTGTAATACATAATGTCACTGTTCGTGCTCTTTTGGTGGTAGGCTGGTGGTGGTGGTGGGTGGGTGGGTGGAGAGAGAGAGGGGGAAGAGAAGGGAGGGTGGTTGTGTATAATTGTGGGTGGAGAAAGAGAGAAGCGGTGGCAGATATCGTGGAGAACCCATCAAACCCCATCATCTTCGCTCCATCAAACCCTATCATCGTCTCGGTAACTTCATCGGGGTGGTTGACTTCATCACATTGAAGTGCTTCTCTGTATGCAGCTATTTTGCTATGTTCTAGATTACCAAATTTAATTGGGTAATTTCTATGTATATAGTGTGTGTGTGTGTATATATATATATATATATATATATATATATTTCCATGCTCTGAATTACCAATACCAATGCCAAACCCAAATCCCTGAATTTGTTAATCTTGGATTTGATTGATTTATTTTGGGTGAAAATACGTCATCAAAGATGATTTCATTTTAGCTGCTCATAGCCAATGAACCCAATTTATGGGCAATTTGAATAGCTGTTCTAAAAGCAAAAGCCACAGTAAAATATTTGGGTTTCAAGTTGGTTTGATTGCTGTGAATCTGATGGTGTTTTTTTTTTATATATATTATTATTATTTTTTTTTATCTTTGTTTATATATATATATATATATATATATATATGAAACTGGTTTTTTCCACATATATATTTAGAGACATGAGAGGTGGGAGTGATAGTGGCGGGACTGTTAAGTGGTTGTGGTGCTTAATTTATTAGTATAAAAATAGTAGTGGAAGTGGTGGTGGTTCTCACGAAAGTGAAAGGGTAGATGTGACAGTTGCAGATTTCTGAGTTTGTAAGAGAGAAACATGTGGTAATAATGTTAAGGGGTAATTCTGTCATTTTAATATTTTAGATCAAAACTTAATATTTTATTGAAGGGTAATTTTGTCTTTTTCCATCTCGAAGGGTCTGTTTGAGTTAAATTTCTGACATGGGTGTGAACATTCAAAAAGAATTTAATTTTCATCTAACTTTTAATAAAGCAAATCTAAAAAAATGCAAGTGTAATTAACCCAAAAACAAAAAGTGTATTCCTAAAACTCACTTGTTGTAACAAGGTGCATTGAAGTTATGGGACCAAAATAAATTTAGTTTGAAAAGCTAAAGGATATACTAAAAATAAATAATTAATAATTAAAAATATATATCCAAAGTATTGATTGTGCATCACCCGACCAAAGATCTTATGGTGTAAGTTATATCTCATCACTTTCAAATTAGATGATAAGGGTTGGAGTTTGTAAATATGTGAATGGGGGTGTGTCATGTGTGTGTTTTTTTATCAATGAAAAATATATATATATATTTGCACGAAAGATCATGACACGTGGACGGTCGATATCAGTCCCACTTCCTTCAACCGCCTTATAAGTTGGGTTCATGGTGAAGCACTAATTATCCTTGTACATTGAGCGTGCGTTTCTAGTGTAGTTGTAGTCATCAACATCTCCTTCTATATCTTCTCACAAAACTCTCTCTCTAAAAAAAATGTCTTGCTGCGGAGGCGACTGTGGTTGTGGAGATGGCTGCACGTGTGGCTGCGGCTGTGGCTGTGGCTGCGGAGGGTAAACCTATTATTTTATTCCGAGCTCTGTTTGTTTTCCTAGAAACTAAAACCTTTTCTTGGATAAAGTTTTATGTTTTGAGATTTTCATTTTGAAATTTAGTCTCTTCTTTAAAATAATTGTTCATAAAATTATTATTGATTTGTTAAGTGTTTTTGCAATGATGACAGATTTGATATGTACCCTGATATGAGCTTCTCAGAGAAGACCACCACCCAGACACTTATTGTTGGGGTTGCAACCCAAACCACGTATGCATATTACTGTACTATATATATGTAACTTGAACTACTAATATATGTTATATCATTATTTGTTTAAAATTATAGTAATGTATATGGAAGCTGAATTAGTTTCATATATATATATATATATATATATATGCTCATTATGCAGATACTATGAGGGTTCTGAGATGGGTGTGGGAGCTGAAAACGAAGGGTGCAAGTGTGGATCCAAGTGTACCTGTGACCCCTGCACATGTAAATGAGAGTGGACACACAATCCAAAGCAGAGTTAGAGACCTCTCTTCAACAATTAATAATACATATGGTGTACAACTAGTGGTGATTGTGTGTGTGTGTGTGTGTGTGTGTGTGTGTGTGTGATGTTATGTTTAGAATAAAGTGGCCATGGTTGCTCTGTATGTATAGGATGGTGGGTGTCTCTGCTGGGCTTGTCATGTCGTGGTTCTGTGTTAGTATGATGTGTGTTAAAAAGAGATGTTGAGTTTGGTTGTATGAATGAGAATCGCTTGAGTTTGAAATTTTGAATTGGCTTTGTTTACATTTTAATATGTTCTATGACTTTGTTTTTATATCTAAATTTTTGGGATTTCAAGGTTTAAAAAGTTGCATAAAAAAAAAATTAATTTTTAAAAAAATATTTTTAGATTTTATTTTCTTGAGTTTGGTTGAACGAACGAGAATCACTTGTGTTTGAATTGGCTTTGTTACATTTTATTTGAGTTTGTTTTTCTATCTAAATTTTTGGTATTTCAAGGTTGAAAAAGATAGATATAAATAAATAATTTTTAAAAAAATATATTTTTCTATTTTATTTTGTCTTGTCTTATATATTTAATTTTTTTCAGTTTTGAGATAAGTGGAGGATAAGTGGACAAGTGCCCTATTTTTCTATTTTATTTTGTCTTGTCTTATATATTTAATTTTTTTGAGTTTTGAGATGAGACAAGTGGAGGATAAGTGCCCTGCATAAATTTCTACTACGATAGAATGATGTGTTTTTGTTACTTTCATCAATCATCTAAAAGAGGCCGGTCGTGAATTCTCTCCTATATTTTATCTCTCCAATCATTTCAATTTTGATGACATGATAATTTTTTCTCCGTGGATATAGACATGGACTTTGGGCATGTATATGTATATATATATTATATTATATTATATGCTTTTAACCAGGCTAATATACGGGTTTGCAGTTGTGTGTAATGATATTAAATTATTAAAAAAGAATTACGAAATAGATAAATACGGCGAATTATAACATGCATATAATCTATGCATATACATATGTCAAGCTGATTGTTTTACTTGGATCTAAAACAATAAATGAGCATTAAAAAGAAGACATCCTGCACAAGACCGGAAAAAAGAGATATTTAAGGACTTGGATGGATTTAGAAGACAAAAAAATTATTTTCAAATAAGTATAAAAGACAGTTCTCTAGAGACAAACTATTTTCAAAAAACATTTTTTTCAAAACTAAATCAAAGGCTTGCTTAGTTTGTAACTCTGAAATCAGTTCTTAAGAATTCAGAAAACTATTTTCAGAAAATTATAAAAGACATTTATTTGAAAACAGATCTGTTTATAACTGAATTTTTAGAAAATTGAACCAAATAAAAAAAAATTGTACAATTTTTTAAAAATAAATAACTATTCTCAAAATTACAAACCAAGCAAACCCGTAATTTATTTCCTTCCTTTCAAATTTTGGCCTGCAAGTAGGTAGAATGTTTTTTTTAAAATATTGTTTTATTTTCTAACATCTGATTGTCATAGTTTGTTTACGAAGAACAAAAAATATTAAAATCAAAAATATCTTAACCATCAATTTTCGACAACCTATTTTACATGCCCCGTCTAATGAACTCGATCTAGACCTTTGCCAAACACAAAAAAATAAAATTTTAAAAATATATTTTATCTATAAAAAAAAACTTTTTTCCGAAAAAATTATTTTACGTCACTAGTTTTACCACAAGACCACATATCACACCTTAACATTGGAATCGAAGAGGATACTGGATCAAAGGTTAACAACTTTTCCCTCCAATTTCATGCTACATTGCTACCAAGCAGGCATTAAATCATCTAGAAGGAGAGAAAAAAGAAAAGGAAAAAAGACCACTTCCACAGCCAAGTGAGCACGTGAACACTAGGGCGGACAAAATACTTGAAACTATACTGTTGCGAATGAGATATCCATAGCCGGGTGGAGACTTTCCAGAAGTATCCGAGAACTACTTGATACGTGACCCAAATATCTTCGGTCGTGATAGATATTACTTTTTCCGTTCCAAAATAGTTGGGATACTTTAAAAACTGTGACACACAAATTTTGGAACAGAGGGAATAAAAAAAAATTACTCAAATAAATGACAGGTTCAGGAGGTAGTGTCAATATTAGACACGGACACAATACCGAGTGTGTCTCCCTTGTACAGTATCCATGCACTTTGGTAACACAAAACACGAAAATTATTTATAATAATAAATAGTTTTTTTTTTTTTTTGGTTGAATGGGTAATAGATAAATAGTTGCTACCAAGCAACTTGCAGGTATTTCCTCGTTCGCTGCCAAAGATTAATCGACGAAATAACATCATTATATGAAGTGAAACCTCCTTACTATTATTCTAACATATACAGTATAGTCCCCGTGAAACAAGGCCTCCCAAATTTTCTTAGAATGCAAGTACTTTCACTACTAAAATCGGACTCTAAATATCCTCGTCAATTGGGTAGAAACTAAAAACACGAAGAATATAATGAAATAAAAGGGATACTTTCAATGGGAAAATAAAATAATCCCTTCCTCTCCTCTAAGGAAATTTATGTACAAATCTATTAAACTGGAACCCATCATTTCTTATTCTGCAATAACACAGATGACAAGGAACATACACTACCACTGAATTTTTTCCACGACGATATGATGAGAAGTGATGCATGTACCTGAGAACGACTGGTGTTAAGTGCGTGCATCCACGAGATGATTGATTATGATTGATTCATGGCACTACAGAGATTTGTAGCATTAGAATGTTCATCGTGGCCTGCCTCTTTTTAAAAGAGTTCTGTATATTGGGAAATTCAGCTGCCATTCTTGGGAGAACTTACCCAACTTCAAGAGTATCTCCACACTTCATCCCTATATGCATAAGAAGAAATAATCAAATAAATAATATTCATGTCCTATGCTCCTCGCTGCCCAAACAAACAAACAAAAACAAGTGTGGAAGTAATAATAGCAATAAGACCCACCCAGGTGGAAACTTTTTAGGGCTAGCAACAACCAAAGATAAAAAAAATAAACATAACATTGAGACAACCTTTCACACCCGCGACATTGTAAGAATGATTTTTCATTTGACTCGGCAATTACAATTTATAATGAATACTTTCTGATTAATCCTAGTGAGTCTAGTTTTAGTTCTCAAGCAACTAGTAAAGAACAGAAATCAAACTAGAGCACATTTGTTTAAAATGAATGCATAAAGAACAAGCCATTCATTGGCAGTTGTTTTAGCAAAGGCTACAGATGATAAACCTAGAGCACATTTGTCAGCAAAAGTAGCAGCTCAAGAAAGCACTTACAGTTTTTTGTCCTAGGTCACACCAATCTTTGATGCATGCGAACAATCTTTGGTCACTGGAGAGTTTCCCTCAACAATCAAATCCCCAGATTTGGTATTACCATCATCACAATGCTCCTTGTTGAATGTGAAATCAAGTTGCTTTTCCACAGACTTGAAAACAGCAGTTCTTTTGGATCTTAACTGATACGGAGGAGATGCATTAAGAGTCGCACCATTACGTAGCACATTGGTAGTAGCACTATCAAAACATGCAGAATTTTCACACAAACTTCCATCTCGTGACCCAAACTTCTCCAAACTGTTCTTATTTTGTTCTTGTTCAGAACTACTTTTACGCAATTGCAGAGGTGTTTGAACTCTGATCTTTCTCTTCCGTAATATGGAAGGTGTATTGGGGAAGCTCTTAGCAGCAATTTTCAATATAGATTCTGGACTTTGTCCACACAAACTGCCACTCTTTACACAAGGCGGTGTGGAGAAACTAACAGGCGACGTAATTGGACTAGAGTCAAATTCTGACTGCATCCATTGCATATTTGAAACAATGGAACTTGATGGACCAAAACTTTCTAATTGCAGTGGTTCATAGTACAATGAACCGTATATTGGAACATTGAACTGCAACGAAGTACCACTCTCTTTATCCCGATTGATTTCACCATTGCTTCTACGTCTCTCAACTGCTATATTTGAATGACTGTAGCCAAAATCTATATTTGATGACAATGGCCTGCATTTTACACCTATAGAATCAGCAGACTCATTTGAAGGAACACTGGATGTAGCAGCCAAATCGAGAAGGGGGGTTGAGGACTCTAACTGATCTTTGTCATCTTCTTCTAATTTACATACATCTGTAGTTCCTGATGAAGTTTGGGCAGTTGACTCTGATCCTCTATTCGAACAAACAAGCAGTTTCCCAGTTGAAGCTGTTCTGTTAATGTCTTTTGCACCATTCTGGAGACCATTCTTCACTACTGGTGGAAGATTCCCAGTAGCCAAGTAGAAATCTAGCTTCTTCTTTAAGGAACTATTCCAGTGATTCTTTATTGCATTGTCAGTCCTGCATAAACAAAATTTAATCACCAGCAAGAATTGGTTCAAATTAGTACGTGAAATGCGTGCACAGTTCACATGGCACTCCAAATGGTTCATTGTGCTCCTCCAACCTTGTTTGGTTGAATTTCATACAAGCCAATGCCTTAGTTTTATTAGTCAGATAGGTAGCTGGAAATATTTGTTTGTTTTAATTACAAGATATGGAATAAGTCTTCAATGAGCATCGAGGTTAGAAAGCCTGCCTTCCATATACAAGCCAACGCCTTAGTTTTATTAGTCAGATAGGTAACTGGAAAGATTTGTTTGTTAATTACAAGATATGCAATAAGTCTTCAATGAGCATCAAGGTTAAAAAGCCTGCCTTTCATATAAAGGAAGATGAGTGATGAGCAACACAAAAGCACATACTGCAATGCGCAACATAAAAGCACATGCATTCAGCAGGATTCCAAACTTTACAAAAACCCTTGAATCTTGAATTTTATCTTCTCTTAAATGCAGCCAGTTGTTCTCATTTATATAAAGATATTTCAGAATTCAGATTATATATCACCCCCCAAGATCAAAGGGGCTTAGTGTGTACTTCATGCGGGGAAAGAATACTCCTTTCTCGCTTAAGCGACTTCCCGTCTTGGCACTTTTGGCATCCGACTACGGTGCGGAGCGGGAACCCGCCGGGTCGAACTAAATTGCCACCCCTGATTCTAACGCTCAAAATCATTAATAATAAACTTTGCTTTCATTGCGAGAACCATATTCTAAATGATGATTAACTGGTTTACAATCAACTAGTGATACAGAAAAGGTAACAATATAAAATGATCGCATTCCCCCAAAACCCAAAGGTTGGCTTATAATTGAAGGAAACTAATAATGAACTACTCTCGCATAAAATAAAATAAAATAATCAAAAAAAAAAAAAAAAAAAAACTACTCCACATACTTACACCACCCAATGTTGGTCTCACCAATGCAGGGTGTTCAAAGAGGTGGACTCGATACAAATCTAACCTCCAACATTACTTTTAGGTTTTCCTCGCACAGATCAAGCCTCCATCATTCACCCAGCCATGATTCCCTATATGGATTGATTGGTCTAATTAAAGAATATGATGCATTCTCCATATCATAATTAGAGATATAAATGAACCACGCCAAGCTCGAGATTGGTTGGGCTCTGGTAATTTGTTTGTGGACTCAGCTTCAGTCCATTATGATTTTCAAAAGCTGATCTCGCGGCAGCTTGGGTTCTTCACGAGCAGGCTCCACCCATGAGTTTGTGAGCCAAATTTCTTTGGGCTCAAGTTGTTTAGTAAACAAGCTCTGAACAAACACAAGCCAGGCTCTAAATGAGCGAAGCAAGAGCTGTTCATCCACAGCCCTAAAATTATGAAATTTATGCCATAACATAAACATATTTCCATCGCAATCATACCCTGTATGTCAAATAGGACACGCTTAATGGGATAAAAGCAAAGTTAGAAAGGCAATTTGCAAGTTGTTAAATTTCCTTGATCGGCTACACTTGTGAGGGAAAAATTGTAGCGTGAGAGTGACCAAAAATACCAACGAATTATTTAGAAATTAAAATCAATTTGTTCTTTACTTCTGGCAGCTCAAACAAATATAGCTTTCAGATGTTTGTGATATTAAAAAATCCTAACCCTTCTCCTTTTAGCAGGGAAAAGGAGATTTGATGCCCTGCCCCCACTTCATTCGCTTCTTAGTTTATGATCGTGCAATTTCTCTGAACATTGCACATGAACAAAACTTTAGATTTAGAAATTAGCCAAAATAAAAACTAGCAAATGCCAAGGAACGGCTATTTCTTTGTGATCTACCAAATTGGCCACTCTGTTTCCTCTTTCAGAATTGACATACTATACATAAATGAGTACCTTCCAGGAAGAACCTTTGCTATTTCAGCCCATTTGTTCCCATGTGCCCGATGGGCACTCATCAGGGCAAGCTCCTCGTCTAATGTCCAAGCATCCTTTTTTATATCTGGATTTAAATGATTGTGCCACCTGAAAATATTCAATTAATAAATGACTCAAAATAATAATAAAAGAATAAAGATAGTAACTTCAAACCAAAATATAAAATAAAATAACGATTCTATTGAGTCATAAAATTACCTCTCACGGCATTGTTTCCCTATACGACCTGGCAAAGACTTCGCTATGATAGACCATTTTGTAGGACCGTATTTTGCGACCAGTTCAGTAATTTTTTCATCCTCCTATGAACCAAACAAGCAGCAAAGCGTTTAATTTTCAAATACAAGCACTGGTTATTTTACCAGAGACCAACACAAGAGGCCTTTCAAAAGTATGGGTTAGTTATACAAATGGGCTAGAGCTAAAATGAAGGATATAGTACATCTTTTCCTCTGATGGTTTCTAGACTGGCTTATGCTGGCCTGGTATATCATATTTGGGGTGAGCTTAATCGACAAAATTTGATGATATTTATATAAATAAGGTAGCATAAAAAGATGGATTGCAAGAGATGTAAGGGGTTGATTGTCACAGATAAAAAATGTTATAGATACTCTTGTGGCGAATGAAAAACTCATCACTAATGGAACTTTTCAGTTCAATGGAAGACATTGGCATGGAGTTGTCTTGGGTATAGCTGTAGATTTTTGTAGCTAATATCATCCTAGGTTGATATAATTGTATTTTGAGATCCTCTGTGTTGACAATATTATGATTTTTTAGGGAGTATTCCTCCTTTGGGAAGTCTCTTTGTTTAAAGAATTTTCATTTATGTACTCCTTTAATCAATAAATTTCTTTTGTTATCAATCAAAAAACAAGATACCTTGTCAAGATAAAATGTTTTAAAACAATCCTCAAGAACAAATATCAATAGAAAAGGGAAAGAAGCTAGGTTCCAACCTCTTGAGTCCAAGGTCCTTTAACAAGTTCTGGATTGAGAACCTTCTGCCACCGATGCAGGCATTGCACTTCCGATCTATCAGGAAAGAACTCAGCTGCATACACCATCAAGATACAAATATTAAGATAGGCCTCCCATTCAGAGTGCAACAATAGACTGTACTTAAGCAATTTGATACCAGTATTGAGAATAAAGAATAAGATTGCACCTCAAAGTGCTGTAACTAGTTTGTTTTCTTCAGCAGATATACAGCATATTAATTGCAAACATTTACATTAGTCAATGTTTGCAACTTACTTAGATGACTTAACAGATAGCATTTTCACCAAAAAATTATTATTTTTAGTTATTTCAATTTCTTTGCAAGTGCATCTTAAAGCTATTAAAAGCAGTATCCATATCAATTCTGCAACTAAATTAATTATGTCAAATCTTCTGCAAGCTTCTCATCTAGTTTAAGAACAATGCCATAACCTGTATGACAGAAGTTATTGCACGAAACAATTTAGCTCTCAGATAGAGTCTTAGAGAGAATAAAATGAAAAACTATATTGCAGACCATGTGTGATAGCTTGCATGTATTCATTTTATCCCTCGTTCATGACAAAATATGTAGTCCAGTCATTGTTAAAATTGTTGAAAACTTGAGTAATATAATATTAGGTCCAGGAATACAACAAAATACCTTGGATTAATTAACTATTAAGATTGATGCTATATTTGATAATATAACTCGGGGAAATATATTATCTGAACAGACTTACTGATATCACCATGCACACCACCACCAAGAGGGCTTATCCCTAATGGTATCTCCTCCTTCCAATGGAAGGTCAAAGGTTCAATCAAATCCCCAATGGGGTAATAATTGGTGCGTGTGGGACTTACCTATCAACAACAACCACCAAACAAAAAAGGGATACCGCCAAGCATGCATTAACAATTTATTTCCATTTCTCCAAATGGTAACAGTAGATTGTTTACCCATTTCTCTTATTCTAAGTAAATGCAGGTCCTTTGTGACAAAATCTACTAGGGCTGCAAATGAACCGAGCTATTCATGATAGTTCGGGCTCGACTCGTTAAAAGCTCGGCTCGGGCTTGGGCTCGGGCTCATTCGTTACGTAAACGAGCCAAGCTTGAACAATGCCAGGCTTGGCTTGTTGAGCTTGTGAACAAGCTCGTTTACATAAAAATACATAAAATTTATTTTATATATTTAAAAACTTGTCCCACCTATACAAGTTTAGCCCACGTAAATATATATTTTTAGTTGGCCCAATTGATAAGTCCATCATACAAATTTAGTCAATTTAACTAAGTAACCCAATGACCCAAGTCATGATTTAATCTAAGCCTTGCCGAACAACCGCAAGAAGAGCACCGCTTCTGCAAGTTCAGCAACTTGTGTAACTCTGCAAGTTGCAACTCCTCTGGCCATTGCACCGGCAACCAAGATTACTTTGCTCTCTCTTTATTCCCTCACTGGCCTTCGCACCAGCCTCCCTTCAACTCCACCGGCGACCAATGTTACTTTGCTCTCTCTATTCCCTCACTATTGTTAGTGGTATCGGAGATTAGTGGTTGGTACTTGAAGACGGCGAAGGAGCTGATGAAGAACTGATTAATGGTTGAAGATGGTGGCAATTTTGTCTCCGAAAACGATATGTTACCACTTGATTCATTTGATATACATACACATACATATATATATATATATACTCACGAGCTCGAGCTCGAAATCGTCAGAGAACTGGCAAGCCGAGCTCGAGCTTGGCCCAAACACCCTTATAGTCTAGGTGAGCCGAGCCTGAACAACCTAAACCTCTGCTCAGCTCGGTTCCTTTGCAACCCTGATATCTACCAATCTCATAACAATGACTTCAGAAGATTTACAAATTCCATTTGCAAGGAAACATGGGCTAACAGCTCAAGCATATATTGTATGATGCGACAATGACATAATAAACTGCATAATCTTTACTTGATAATTGAATCACAATTGCATATCTAGAGAAACAGGAAAATATATAAACGTAAGTAGAAATAAAAAAAGTTGCTAAGTGGACTTTAACCAAGTAGAAAAGAGGAAAATTGCAATTAGCCATAATAGAGTAACAATGTTTTCTTAGTATTTATAAATTAAATAAATTTCCAAATCAAAAATCAAAAGTTTTTCGCAGAGCTCGTAAGCCGTTCTGAATATAGATCCTGCAAACCCCAATTGCTGGTTTACTTCTTCATCAAGGGTGTCATGGAATATCAAGCATACAAGAATACTAATTATTCCTCATTTATACATTATCTACATCAACTCAACTTAATAAAGTCTTGTCCAAACTATATCTGCCCTAATCCTATATTTTCAGTTTCTACATCATCTACCTTGCATTATAAAGGTCAAACCAAATAATAAGTATGGATCTTGACCATCAATCCGAGAGAGTGGCTCCCAGACATGTACTGACACCTGCTTTCTGACAATGAAACAAATTCTTTCTGGTGGATGGAATACCATCTCAATCATAAATCATAACTTGCTCAGTATTCCAACAAATTGATTCTAGGTCTACAAACATGCACCCAAGATATATTAGGCTGTTAATTTAGAGTTTTGACACTCCTTACCAAACCCTGGGTGGTTAAAGCATGACCAAATCTTAAATTCCCTACTCTTCCAAAGTACTACACGTCAACATGAAGGAATGTGAAAGTTCTCAGTTTCTTTTGAAAGTTTAGATCGAAGAAGAAGAAATGATAACATAAAATCTTTTTGTGATAACTCTATGATAGCACAACTTCAGCACAATGTAGCGGGTTTGAACCATGTGAAGTCAGCTTTTCGGTGCAAACTATGACAAGCTTCCCCAAAATCCAATGGCATTTGATATAATAAACTTATAACTAGCATAACCTTAATAAGTTAAATCCTAAATTTATGATGAGGAATACTATAAATTTTTATGACAAGCTTCCCCAAAATCTAATGGCATTTGATATAATAAACTTATAAATAGCAAAACCATAATAAGTTAAATCCTAAATTTATGACGAGGAATACTATAAAAATTCTTAAATTTCAGTCTGGTCAAGGTCCACCAATAACTACCAACTGCATTGTAGCTTTAATAGTAAGTAATAAATATTAGAGACACCGTAGAGTGAAGATCAAAACCTATTTTCTTCCAGCACTTCCCCTTGAAAGTGGCAACAGCTTTTTTTAATGTATCATCCTGTAGCAAATTGAAAAGGTTGTTAGCAGAAGAAGACTATGATCCCCAAAAGAGTAATTAAGAGAAAATCATCGAAGAGACAGATGAACACAGTATAATTAAGACAAAGGCAGCAAAGAGACAGAGGAACACAGATCAACACTCGCAGATCCGAACTATAATCATGTGAAAGAGTGATGGTTTTAAAATAGTGTGAATCCACGCCTACATTGTTGGAAAACCAGAAGTTTCTTTAATTTAAACACCAGTCTAAAAATCAAGGCTGTATGACTTAAGAACTCAAACGGAAGACTCGCTAACAAAAAGGTTCAGTGCAACTATAAAAAAAATTCCGTCATGAAATATAAATTATGTTCACTAGTTACAGAAAACTGCTTACCTCCTGTGGAGTCCAACCCCCCTTAGCTCGTCTAATTGGGCCTGTTGTCCTCCTACAAATCCAAAATTCACCATCATCATATAATTTTCCAATCCAAGAAGTATGAATCCCATGCAAAATAAAATTTAAGACTTCCCAGAAAAAAGTGAAAATAAAATTAATAATAATACAGTGTAAGACTGAAAAAATAGAAAATTGAACAAAAAAATTACATAATTCTTCTGGTGACATCCATAGGCCATATGCTAGATGGTGGGGAGAGACTATAGATTATAGAAGTGTTTGGAATGTTAATTTGAAATATGTTCTTATTATTGGAAAATGTCCATAACATGGTTGCAAATTTTTGGATTTCAAACTATGTGCATACAACTTTTAAGTAAAACATTATACATTTTTTAGTTCTTAAGTGCAATGGGAATTAGCACATGTGTTTTATCCTCCATGTGACACAGAGGAAGCAAAAAGAAAAACCTGAATCCTAGAATTCACGGCCCTCAAATTCACAAGGAATAACAAGAGAAGACTCTCTTAAAGTTTATTATAGAAGAATAATAAGATTTATTTTTGTTTTTTTCCCTAAAAAGCCTATTCCATATAGGCCTTGTATAACTTTAATTACAAGTGATAACCTTCCTAAAATTACCCTAACCATCACAACAACCTATAAGAACTTGAATGCTACTATAAGTACCCTAAAAACTACTAATGTTATGAAAATTAAATCCTATAATTCTAAAAAGTGAGAATTAGAAGAAAAATAAAACTAAAAGATCCAATGATTGTGGCTAAAACTATGCAATCTGCTCTACGTAAGCCCCTCCCATTCAAAGAAATAAAATGAAACAAATATTCATCCTTGATTTTACAACTTTATCTTCAATTATTGTCCTTTCAAAAGAATCAAAACCAAAAAAAAAAAATGTCCTGGATACTTCAACAACTCGATTTCCGTTCAAGTTACACAAGCCAAATTTCTTTTTTAATAAATTTCAATGAATCCAAAAACAATCACTAAAAATTAAAGTTTTCCTCACATACAGTTTCAAAATTGTACATTTCTTCTTTAAATGGAATTCTAATTGAAGAACCATCAACCTTTAATTTGTGATCTTCAATCTCGTCAAGGATTTATTGTTGCTTGACTTCCTTAACTTCAAAAATCAAAGATTTCAATACCTTCTTGTTCATCAACTCAGTACATTATCACAATCAAAATGACAAAAAAGAACAACGGATTTTGAATAGTAATAATAAGAAAAGATCATAGCTCACAAATAAATGCCCTCTCATTACTGCTATAACGATATGCTATTCAATGATTTTCTTGAACTAGATCTTGTACGATTTCATTAGCATCAATATCAACTGCAGATTTTGAATACCAATCAATGCTTGAAATTTGAATATGTTCCAGCTGTCGTCCCTTCAAAGAAATCATGAACTTGTTGAAAAATGTTTGCTAATCCATAAACGAATGTTTTTCTAAAATCCTGTAATTAGTGCCACCAATAGAACAATGCACTGGTGAGGTTGCACCCTGCCCTTAATTTTGTTCTATTTTGACGGTCTCATATTCAAGACACGTCCATATCGTATCATCTAGTTATCACCAAAAAAAAAAGAGTTCTCTCTAAAGTAAAAATAACATAGATTGTCGGTGTCCCATATCAATTGCAAGATTCCCATATCAATCACAAACCTTCCAAATAGGAACATGTCCATGAATACGTTGTTTTGAGACCAATTGTCAATGCACCTATGGTCTTCAAGATCTCATGTTGGATGGCAGCCCACAACTAAAACCCTCATTCTGGTTGCCAGTGTTGTCTTGTTAGGAAATTGAGTTATGTGTTGGCATATTCCGCATCAAAACAGAAGTGCAAGGTTTACGGATATCCAATCACACATTTATGTTAAAAGGTAATTTTGAACTTTAGTTGACCTTAGTTTAACCTATTTTGCTCTTGGTTGGATTTAGAATGTTTTGGAATTGTTCTATTTTTTATTTTTTATTATTTATTATTTCTTAAAACTTATCAAAATTATGTTTTTCACTTGCTCACAAAGTTCAATTAGAATAAGTGATTCCCAGTTTAAACGATGTAACAGTTATACAAGTTAAAGGACAGTACCTATGAGAAGGTGACATAGAAGTGGGACTGCCTATTCCCGGGGACTTGAGCGTAACACTGCCACTGCCTTCAGAAAAAGAAGAGTTTGATGCGGCAGCTGATTGTTTGTTCTCGAGACAGAATTCCTCCATTTTCATCTCCGCCATCTCCTTGGAATTTTCACTTCCAAAACCTTACAACCTAATCAAAACCAATAACACAATAAACAAACAAAACCCTCAGACCGATTCAATAAACTAAAGATTCATTCAGTACAAAACCCTAAAAACCCTAGTCACGATCAACAGTTCCGAACCTCCAGTAATAAAAACAAACTAATCCAGATCTCGGAACTAATACACAGATCAAAACATGATTAATAAAACCCAATTATAACAGTTCTAGGGCTTTCGCATCAAAAATAAATAAATAACATAAGAAAAAAAAAACTAATTAAAAATAAAGGAATCAGAACAAGTGCAAAATAAGAAGAACGGTTTCGAATTATCAGAAACAGTTGCGAATTTAAACGAAAAATTAAATTCGAAAAAAAACAATTAGATAAATCTGAAAGCAAAGTACCTCTGCTCGCAGAGAAGTTTGTTGAATCAAAATCAAGCTCATCGAGAGAACATCACGTTCGAACCTCTTGCAGCCCAAGAAAACTCTGATATTTAGAGAGAGAGAGAAAGAGCTTTTCGCTCGAAAGAAAACCTCGCCCGTTGAAACAGAGACAGACTTAAAGAAAATATAAATATCAATATATGCAAATTTCATATATAACGAATAGGGCCACCGACGTCTCCGTTTCCTGCCGTTATAGAATGATTGTACTTTGTAGGCTTTAGAAAGCTTGTACCTTTTAACGGCGGTTGACGGTTCACGTAAACGTTAAGGATCAAAGTTTGAACCTCAAACGGCACTCTCCTCTTATAGCCATTCTTTAAATATCGAACATGTTAGGAGCTGTGGATGCTTCCCGGGTACTTTTGCACCGTTAGATTGGAATTTAACAATCAAGGTTTAAGTAGTTTGTGTATGAGAGATACGTTATAACTAACCGAGTGTGTTAGGGTAATTATCTGCTGGAACGTCAGATCACGCGACATCAACGGTGTGCAAATAATCTTGCTGGGCATTTAATATGGACCGTCCACTTTGAATTATTTGACCGTAGGAAAATTGCAGTTGAAGGTTCATTGGATGGATATGATTGTGTGGCATCCCTAAGATATCGAATATTTGATGGGTATTATGGAGGTGAGCTATAATGTATAGTCCATTCTGATATTTTTGTTAATTAACCAAGATGGAAAGGAAAGATTAATGGAGGTAGGGTATAAAAAATGTTCAGAATATTCTGCAAATTACTAGCAATTAGATGTATAATGTACAGTCCATCTGACATTAATTTTGTAAGGGCAAAACACAATTAAAAACTAATTAATAAATAGAGTTTTTTTTCAATTATTTTAAAATGAAAGTAGACGTTGAAAGTACAATGAAAGGTAAAAGGAGAATAATTAATCCTAACCGTTGTAAATTCTAGCAACAAAAATAAAAATGTTAAAAAGGAAGCAAATACAATATAGTCATAGAGTTTAAAAACCAATATACAATTTATACAAAAATATAAATCCAACAATTCCACAAATAATGACAAACCAAGGGCATGCTCGATCCACGTTTGTTTTTTGTGTTTTTATTTTTGTTGGGTACTATATTAGTGAACAGTGAAAAAAATCGTATTTGGTAAAAAAAAAAAAAAAAAAAATTATTATACAGCATTGAAACGTTTTCACGAATAATGATCAAAATTCAAAACACTAATTTAGTGGTGATGAAAATAGTGAGAAAAAAAAATTGTATTTGGTAAAAAATATATTTTTTACATAATGTTGAAACGTTTCTAAAAAAATGCTCAAAATTCAAAACATTAATTTAAGTAAAAAACAAAAAAATAAATAAATAGAAATAACCAAACAGCCCCGATTGTGTGGGTTACATGACCATCTCCTCTTAATTCGATAGTGGGACCTCACCTTAATTTGTGACCCAAATATCTTTCGAATTGGTGTTGGACATGACATGACTTGACCCTAGATCAAAGACTGCAGACGAGACACTTATACTCAAACATATTAACTTAAGTTGTTGAATATTATCCCACACACTTAAATATAAAGGGAACGAAGAGTTTTGGAGGGATAGAGAGGATTAATCACTAACTTTTTCAATCATCCAAAAAATGGTGGGAAATGAAAGACTAATTTAATTTTTCTAATACCAAATTTACCCTTAAGACAAAATCAAAAATATGCTTGGATTTTAGGACGCCCTTTTTTTTTCAGTAAAGCAAACATACACCCTTTTTTAATCAGGTCAGGACTTGAACCCCTCTCATCTTCTGCAGAGATAGGAAGGTTATACCATTAGGCCAAAGACCCTCTGGTATTTTATATACTACCTGGTATATATATAATTTGGAGAAAAATAAATTAAAAAAAGGGAACACATATGGGAGTTGTGAAGGGCCCCACAAAGGTACACAGTACACGAGCCCCAACTCCCAAGCAAATTCAAAAGAAAAAGCGCAGGTCTTCCAACGGTCAGATGATCCAAAACTCTCTTACTTTTTTCTCTCTCTTCACCACATCTTCACCTGTTCCTCTGTCTTCAAGATCCATTAGTTTCTTCTGCAAAATAAAAAAATCTCTCTATCTCTCTCTAAGTTCCTTGTCAATGGCGACTCAAACGAATTCATTTCACACTCCCAAAAAGGTCGAAGCTTTTTTCACTCCCGCAAAACCCTCAAATTCAAATCCCAATTCGATCTCAAAGGTCAGGGTCATTGTAAGGGTTCGTCCCTTTCTTCCTCGTGAAATCGCCTCAAAAAATGGCAGCCCGGTCCCTTGCGTATCTGTTCTTGACCCAATTGAGACTAGCGAAGAAGTAACTGTTCATCTCAAAGATCAAGAAACCAGGTTAGAAATTTCTTGTTCCGAAACCACAATCTGCTGTCAAGTTTTCTAGGGTTTGGTTAATAATTCTGATTCTAGGTTGTTTCTTTTTGGGTGTAGTCGAAATGAGTGCTATAAATTGGATTCATTCTTTGGCCAAGAAGATAACAATGTTCATCAGATTTTCGACAAAGAAGTTAGCCCTTTGATTCCGGTGATCTTTCGGAGCTGCAATGCCACTATCTTTGCATACGGGGCTACTGGCAGCGGAAAAACCTACACCATGCAGGTCTATTTCTTGACAAATAGAAGCCTTAATCTGAATATTTCGTGTGCACTTCATCAAAAAATTTCCCCCTTTCCATCCAAAACCATAATGTTAGTAAAAGCATAAGCTATCATGTCTTCTCTTGTGGCCTCAATCACCAAGGTCTTATCACCGATGATTTTCAATTTTAATCAGGGTGACAGTAAGGTTTAAACCCAAAACTTTTGGCTATGATAACATACGTACGATCCTGCTCTGATGCCATATTAACCACCTGACCTTTTTTTGGATCAACACATATTTTTATTCTAATTATCAGGTGAGGGTGAGCTTTGAAATCAGGACATTGCTTGCTCTAAGGGTCGTCTTCTTGGTCAAGAACTCAAAACACAGAAAACTGTTTTCAGATAATTGTAAAAGACATTTGGGCCTCCTTGGTTAAGTTTGGAAACAATTTTTTGTATTTTGAGAACTGAAAATAAAAAAAAAATTACAAAAACCTGCTTGACAATATATGAGGAAACTCGGTTAAAAAAATGTTTGTTTTTTAGAGACCCGTCTTTTATAGTTTGCTAAAAATAATTTTTTGTTTTATGAGTGACAGACAATTATTTGAAAATAGTTTTTATTTTTTCTTTTATTAATTTTTTTTTAGGGTTTTCTGATCTTCAGTTCTCAGGGAAAAAAAAAAAAAAAAATCCAATATTTTAATTCTCTAACACACACTTGCACACAATATCCAACTTTATAAGGCTAGGTTTAATTTTCTTTTTCAATTTTTTTTTTTTTTTTTTTTTTTTGAATTGTGGCTATTGTGATTCTGATGGAAATAAAGAGGACTTGGATGATGATGATGCAGGGGAGTGTTGAGAACCGAGGTCTAATGCCTCTAGCCATGTCGAAAATTCTGTCTATGTGCCAGATAACAGGAAGTACTGCAGAGATTTCATACTATGAGGTCTATATGGACAGGTGTTATGATCTTTTGGAACTCAAAGGGAAGGAAATTGCTGTGTTGGATGACAAAGATGGCCAGATTCATCTAAAGGGACTGTCTCGGATCCCTATCAACACGATGTCCGAATTCAATGAGGTGTTTTCTTGTGGAATTCAGAGGCGGAAGGTTGCGCATACGGGTCTTAATGATGTCTCTAGTAGAAGCCACGGTGTGCTTGTGGTTACTATTTCATCTCCTTGTGGTGATGGTTCTGCTGTTACTGGGAAGCTTAACCTCATAGATTTAGCAGGTTCTTGATTACCCTTTCACTTTCAGTGGCTTAATTATGATAAAATTGTGCCATTTGAATGTGGGTTGAATTGTAATATTTCATATTTCCTGAATTTTATGTATGATTTGATCAGGTAATGAAGATAATAGAAGGACCTGCAATGAAGGTATTCGTCTCCAAGAAAGTGCCAAAATTAATCAGTCCTTATTTGCACTTTCGAATGTGATTTATGCACTAAATAACAACAAGCCTCGAGTGCCATATCGAGAAAGCAAACTGACCAGAATATTGCAAGATTCTCTTGGAGGAACTAGTCGCTCTTTAATGGTTGCTTGTTTGGTAAGAAGTTTTGAGTTATCATAATATCTTTTGCTGCTTTTAATTGATTGTTATTCAGATTGTACTGAGATAGGAACTTAATTTTCTTTGTTGTTAATAGAATCCGGGAGAGTACCAAGAGTCTGTTCATACGGTCAGCTTGGCAGCTCGATCTCGTCACATCTCTAATTTTGTTTCTTCAGCTCAGAAAAGATAAAGTTGACATGGAAGCAAAGCTTCGTGCTTGGCTAGAATCTAAAGGAAAAACAAAGAGTGCGCAAAGAATAGGGGCATTTGGTTCTCCATTTTTGAGCCAAACTCCCAATTCTGTGACCTCTGCAAGAAAACCCTTTGCATATCAGAGCTCTGCAAAAGAAAAGACTAACACCAATCAATGTGGTTCTAATGCAAAAGAAAGGTCTGGGATTGCTATTTGAACTTCTTAGCCTTACACAGTATAAGCCTTCCTTGGTTCCTCTAACAGTCGTAATTATGTGATTCACTTGCAGGACTATGTCTCGCAGAAATCTATTCAACAATGGAGGTCCAGTTGATGTAGGCATGGAGGTAAAACATTTAATTCTTCTTGCTGCTTGGAGCTAATAGACATAGCATTCCTATTAACAAATAATATAGTATATAACTCTATTATTTGTTAATAGGAATGCTATGTCTTGCACAGTTCTTTTATCATGTAAAAGAAAGAGGAGATCACACTGTCACTTCGAGTTAGAATGCGGAGAATATGCATAAAAAATCTTTTCGTAGATTTAGCAGGATATGTATATCCTTGCAAAGTAGAAACGTGGTGTGCAACAATTTCAGAAGATGGGGGCGATTTTGGGCTTCATTCATTTAATCTTAGTTTTTATGTTTTGTTACATACAGTAAAGGAAATAAAGCCTGTTGCACAATTTAATATCTTGCATTTCCACATTGAATTTTTTATTTGCAGAATCCGGAACATACTCTCAGGGGCAACACAGAAGAAGGGATCAAGGTTTACACTGATGATATTGCATTTGAGTCAAAGAGATACATACCTGGTATCTTTCTCCTATTGAGACTTTTTATTAGCTTGAATGTTAACCTGATCTCTGCTGCTTTACACTAAACAAAAATTAAAAATAAAATAAAATTGCATTCGTATAAGAAGCACATGTTTATTTTAGTTCAATTTAATTAGACTGTTTTAAGGCTTAACATTTGTTCTCCTCCTCTGTAGATGGATCATTGGACAATGAAGACAAGACAACAAGCATCAAATCTATTGACTCACTTGGATCTTCGCCAATTTGTGATAAAATAAGAGCACTTCAAAGCTCCCTAAGAAAAGTTCTCTCCCCTATAAACTCCAATGTAAACGTAGAGACTATATCATCAAGAGATGATCAAACATTTGGCACCCCACTTGATAAATTTAATGCACTTAGCTCTCATGTCAAGGTTTGTAATAACATTTGACAGCTCGAAGTTTCTCCTTTGTCTTTTGTACTTGTGTTCCTGATCTTTATAATTCGAATGTACAGAGCTCCCTAGTTCAAGAATATATCGATTTCTTGAATACAGCAAGCAGGTAAGTTATGTTTCCTTTTCTTTTCTTTAAATATATGTGTGTGTGTGTATATATATATATATATTTTTTTTTTTTTTCGTTTGAAATTTAGAGAACTTACTATCTTTACAACTCTACATTTCAGGGAGGAGCTACTGGAACTGAAGGTATAATCAACTGATCAAATGCAACAATCCAGATATTAGCCTTCCCAAGTTATTGATTTTTTTTTTTTTTTTTCCAACTCTACTAATATACAGGGAATTGGAGAGAAGATGGCTGAGTACATACTTGAGCTTAGAGAATTAAGTCCAGTAAAAAGGGTAAGAAACTTTTCAAAATGAAGATGTGAATATTAATTTCCTTTAATTTATAAAAATAAGACTTACACTGATATCTCGAACTGTTGTTGCTTGCAGCTAGGTGATTTGGAGAAGATAGGCCTCTCATCCAAGCAGGTAATAATACTGTTAATTGATATTCAAAGGTTGGTCTAAAGTCTAAACCATGATCATGAAAATTTAATCAACTATATTAAATCGTGTTGCAGGTGCACAATATGTTTGGCAGAGCTGCCAAACGTATATTTGATTAGATTAACTGTTATATGCAACACCCGGTTGCTTGGAAAAACTTGCAGCTGAATTTCCTCCATCAATTCAAATTTTACTTTGTAACAATTTTTATTTATTTATTTTTATCACCTGTATCAATTTCCTCCATGTAATAATGAACATGATGATATTCATTTATTTTATGTTACTAATTGATAGAATTGTCGTGGATTAGAGAAATATGGAGCTGTTAATTTTTTCTTTCTGCTAAACTACCCTAGGTGAAAAAAAGCAAAATAATGTTTGACAATTCCATATAATCGATTGGAAGAATAATACAAAATTTGTATGGAGAACAGAAACTTGTTATTTTAGGTATTACTTGTGTATTTGCCATGCTGCAACTACCCTTTGATGTTTGTTTGAGGGGGAGGAGGGGGAACTTCATAGTAACATTTTAAAGGAGTTTCTAGTACCAGGTATCCGAATTTCTTTCGGCCTCGTTTGGATGGGAGGATTTGGGAGATTGGGAAAGAAAAGAAAAGAAAGGATAAGGAATGTTGTGTTTGGATAGAAAGATTTGAGAAATTCCCGGCATCTAGTAGAAAAAGAATATAAACAAGCAAAAGTTTTTCTTTCATAATTCAATTTTTTGACCATACATAATCGCCAACGAGAATTTTTACGAACTTGATGTTGATAAATCCGCGAATCTAGAAATTCATTTCGGACAATTGAACCTTCTCGAACTGTTTCTTTTTAAGAACCAAAAATATTTGTGCCAAAATAACAGATGCCAAGAAGAACAAAAGACCCTGGACACGTAATGGATGAAAAGAAAGGATTGAGGAAGATTAAAAAGAATAGTTATCTCTCCAAATCCCTCACATTATGTTCTTTAAAAAATGAGAAGGTTTGGAGAGAAAGGAAAGTGAGTTAGTGATACTTTCATAATACCAAAATTAACCTCCAAAAATCAAAATTATAATATTGGCTTGCAAAACTACCTCCGAAATTATAGATAGAAGATATGATAGTAATTTAATTGCTATCATTTCTTTTCTTTTCTCTCCCACGTCTCATGAATACTAAGAGTTTCTTTCTTCTCTCCTTATCTATTCAAACATGAATATAAATTATTTCTATTATTTCATTTCCCTCCCATAACGAATATTGCATAATAGATTTAAAGGTTGTTGTATGATTTTTGCTTTTCTACTTTATTTTTTTAATATATAATTTTAAAAATATATATATTCCCAAAAAAATAAAATTCAAACTATAATTAAGTGAGTTTTGAAATCAAAATCATAATAATAATAAAAGAAGCCAATTCTAGTAGAAGAAAGGAGTTTTCATTAATTCAACCAAACTCACTCTCTTGTTTAACATAATAGAAGATCCCATGAACAGCAGAGACGCATCATCACCTACAATTCACTTGCATTATACAAACACAAGCGCAACTCAGAGCATGCAAACCACGCCCACCTTATTATTCTAAACACCATAGAAAAGCTTCATTTAGAAGCTTTAACAAATACATACATCATTATTATTAGCTATATATGTATATAATATTATTCATCATATATATATATATATATATATATATATATATATCTCTCTGCTTTATATAGACTTGTTGGCGTCACTCTCATTTACAAGTGCAAGGATTACAGGTGCAGGGTTTGCACTTGCAGGCATCATTCTCAGCTCCCACACCACTCTCAGAAGATCCCACAAAGTATCTGCATCATAAACATCAAATTATTTTAATTAGCTCCATATAATAACAAATATATATTGACATTTTATTTTCATTCTAATTATATACTAATTATATATGTTATATACACATACGCCTTCTGGGGTGCAACACCAGTAATAAGAGTCTGGCTTGTTGTCTTCTCTGAGTAACCCATGTCAGGGTACATTTTGCATCTGTCACCATTATAGAAAACATTCAACATATCAACAATGAATATTTATTAACATTTTTTTTTGTTTTTTTGCAATAAAGAAACAGAGGTAAAACTTAACAGAAAAAGAACAGAGGAAATATTTAAAAGTATTATTATATCATTAAGTATAATCAAGTTATGAATTCTCATGTAAAAATGACAAAAAGAAAAAGTTTCATAAGAACCCATATTACAGAAAACCAAATAAAAATCTTAGTTTGTTTTTCTTTTAATTTTCTCCTAAAAAGTTTTGTGGGAAAAATAATAATACTAAATATATTCCAGGAAAGAGTGGTAAACATTTTTTTGTCTCCAGATATTTCTTTTCAATAAACTGTATAAAGAAAACAAATTATTTGTTGGTGCAAACTCAGTCTTTGAATTTTGTGGGTTTCACAGTCAAGCCCACACATTTAAGGGCTAACATTGTGCAGTCACGATCGCACTCAACATTTCTCATTTTTTAATGCCAACAGAGGTTTTAATTTCCCGGAAAACAAACAACTTGAAATAAGATCAAAGCCTTACCCTTTACAGTCGTTACCACACTTGCAGTCAGAGCCACAGCCACAGTTCCCTCCGCAGCAAGACATTTTTTAGAGAGAGAAAGTTGTTTCAAGAAAACTGAGCAGAAAGAAGATATTGATGAATGCCAAGCAAACAATCAATCAATTATAGAACGAGTATTAAGGCTTGACCCATGAATCCAATTTATAATGCAGTTAAGGAGAGAGAGCAGTTTCCATTCACCGTACACGTGTCATGATCTCTCGTGATGTTAGTCCCCCCATCCACACCTATTATAACTCCTTTTCCCGCGTATATCTCGTTGTTAACTGGTTCTAATTAGTTGTTTGTTATTTCAATAAATTGTTATTCTATTTCACAACCATTGAACTAAATATACACAACAATTGAACTAATCAAATAAGAATATAACTTATTAAAATAAAAATTTGCAATTTTTGCAGTCTTCCTCTCGCATATGAAAGAAAATATTGTGAAAGCAAGTTGTTTTTTTATTTTTATTTTTTCTTTCCCAGACTGAAAATTGAAAAAATCATAACTATTTTTTAAGGAATATTATATATTTTATGTATTATTTTCTGAAAAATACAAATTAGAAGTGGAAACTAAACCTGTAGAAAAATCATAATTAATTTTTGAGGAAATTTATAGAAATAAAATACAAGGTAGTATTGAAGACAAAAAAAACAAACTACGAAGTTAATATGGAATTTGATTTCTAAAAGCATAAAATGAGCCATCCAGAGTCAACATGCAACCGAAATTTGGTTACATTATGCAATGCAAAATATGCTGGTAGGTTGGAGCTTTGATGATCCTCTGCAACAAAATCTAATAATTGTGTTCATGTTGTATTACATCGTTTAAATATATATGATTTATTATTTCATTAAGACTTGAATCGTAGTCCTAAGTTGTTAAATCAGAAATTAACCATTCAAAAGGATCAAAATGGAGCTATTAATTGATTTCACATTTAGAACAGGACCACTGAGTGAGAACAATATAGCACTCTTGAGAAATTTCACTTATTAATTTCTACTTTTAACATGAACTGTTACAATTTAAAATTTCACAACAGTACAGTGTATATAGATTTTGTTGTCAAGGGAAATTTTTTTTTTTTTTTTTTATCCCTCATCTCTTTCCCAACTATTTTCTATGAATCTAAGTGAAGCAATATCAATTTCACAATTAATATACACGAAAAAATATATATCAGCAAGAAAGCTGCTTCAGAAGAGAACCTGATCTAGCTGGCTGCAACAAGCTCAAGTACAAATAAGTTCCTCTAAGAGATCATCAAATATCATGTCCTCCAGCTCTAGCCCGACACACTCAGCATCAAATTGGAGGTTCATCCATCCATCACTTTTTGCTAGATCCCGGCTCACAGCATCATCCAATGACTGGTCAACCTCAGGTCTACATCTCAAGCAACAGCTTATATTTGCCCAGACCTCTTCAAGAACATGGAATCCCACCGGCATTGGATGGATGTGAGAACGGGAAGACAAGCGTATGGGGCAGTACATGAATGATCTCTCATAAATCTCCAATAAAACCTCATTGATTAGATCAAACAAAAGCAGATTATTACTATTGGCACCTTCTTCATTTTCAGAATCGTCCGTTTCATAGCCTTCCACTTCCTCAAACATAGAAGGGTCCAGTGGCTGGTCAACGGAATGCCATGTCCCAAGAAACTCATTCCTGCTGAAGCCAGATAACTCCAGCACATCTCTTACATAATTGAACTCAGCTAAGTCTTCTGTGTCCACTAGAACTTGCGGAAAGTCAATATTGAATTGCTTAGTTGGAGTTCCTTTTTTCTCTAGGTCAACTTTGCTCTCAGCCAAAGTAGGAGAATCCATGCCTGTCTCATCTTGCTGATTGGCCGAAGAATCTGAAGTATCTACTCCATCAAAAAAGAGGCATCTTGGTTTTAATTCTAGCCCTGCTTTCATCAAACCAAATCATGAGACATCCACTTTCAGCCATATGACACAAAGATGGTTAAAGAGGGATTGATATTCCATGAATCATAATTTTGACCACATTAAATTAGCAAACATATGACCAAATTATTGAATATTGTTTTTACATAAGAGGAATATATAATTGATGGTCTGGATACTATATTGTCAAAAGAATGTATTCACGGATTTCTAAGTTATATCCACTAGAAAATGTTACCATGAGGACAGAAATCTTTCAAGTTCATGGGCTACAATGTTTCCTAGGCCATGTAATCCAACAATGGCAGTTTGAACAATGAATATTAGAGTATCAACCTCAAAGGATTCTTTTTTTTTTATTTTTTATTTTTATCTACTGTCATGATATAAAGTGATGTTAATTATGCACAAAATTTGTGCATCTCTTTGTGTCTCTCTCCACGGACGGACACATGTAGTTGTTGCATGACGTACATTAAGTAAGAGGTAAAGAAAATGATGACGGAGAAGAAACAGTTGGCAAGTGGATATACCTTCTGATATGGAGGGATTTGCCGGGCTGGTTATATCCTCTTGAAAATTGGAGTCAAGTACAGAATTTGGACTCGGTTCTGCCACCTTAGAATTGTGCAGAATTTCATGCTCATCATGAGAAGCACTTTCCCCTGTTGTCAAGTTCCCCAGTCTATCAAGAGTCCAATCCACTTTAGCTTTTGCCTCATCATTTGCTAATGATGTTAATCCCACCTTTTCCTCTGTAATCAGATATGATTCACCAACTTTTTGACTTCCAATATCTTCCTTGGAATCTAACACAGTTGCATTTTCTGAACCTAAAGTTTTCTGTTCATCAAACCTGCTATTTCCTCTACCCAAAGTACTGTTTACAGCTGTCCTTATTGGTATCCCTGAAGACATATCCTTGGGAGATTCCTCATTTTGAAGATATGATCTGAGATCAGGTAAGGAAAGAATTCTACCCAAGGGTTTTGGACTACTCCCATCAGAAGAAGGTATCTCTTCTGCTCTCGACTTTACTCTCTCAGAAATATGATTTTTGGCTTCTTTGTTGAAACTGGACTCAAATAACTTACAATATCGATCCAATGATTCATCAAAAGATGATGTTCTTCGGATTGATTGCAGTCCACCCTTGCTTAGAGCAGTAACAGACTGATGATTCTCACAACCACTTTTAGGAATGTTTTTACTACTTCTGTCCATAGCTGGCTCCTTGCCGAAATCAGCAGTCTCCTCCTTCATGCCTCTGGACAACCTATGGCCATAAGGAATTTTGTGAAGGATTGCATCCATAGAGATCCGATACTTCTCCTTTTTGCTCTCTTTCATTGCATGTTTTATCTTTTGTCTAAGATTCTTGATGCGCTTAAATGCTACTTTATTTTCAGGATCGTTCAGCTGGCAGGGGGAAACTGAAGAAAACTTGTCAACAGACTCAGACCTTGCCAAGCATGATCTTGGAATGCAATTCACCCGATAATCTGCTCCCTGTGACACTGAATTCTCACTTATATCTTCCTTAGACTCCAATTCAACCGATGTCTCAGCTTGACTACCAAATTTAAATTTCTCTTCCCCTTCTGCACGAGACTTGGTCTCCTGCTTGTGTTTAAGCTTGCTTGGCCAGACAGACCTTCTGCCTGATGAGCCAGCCAAAGGGAATGACACAGACTTGCTTATTCCTACCTTTGAGTTGAATGCTCGTCGTCCATGGAAGTGATGTGCCAATGGAGAGCTTGGATCTTGTAGAATTTTCAGGAATAACTCCTTTTCCCTGTTGAATATACCCACAGAATCCAGAGATTGGTTTGACTTGTGGACTGAAACATCGTTTCTAGGTTCCAACAGATCTTGCGCTGCTTTGTTGAACTTCTCACAAGAAGGTGTGTGATTCCCAATGGGTTGCTTCCCACTCTCATAAACCGGACTTTGTCCCAAGTAATTCATAGTAAGAGTGGTGGCACACAACTCACACGTTTTGTTGCTGGCAACCCGTTCCTCACAGACCTTTGATTGCATTATGTCCAAAGTGCTGGCAGCAGAAGAGTCTTCACTACCTAGGTGAATATTTCCTGGTGTATCATTATTTAAAGCAGCTTCAACTGGGTGATCCAGATTTAAAGGTTCTAGACGATGGATGGAAATAGTTCGTGTAAGTTGAGTTTGCGCAGGGTAGGAACAACATCTTCTATGTCGGACCTTTCTCTTAGACACCTCCTCAGAAATCAAAGCTTTTATTCGAGATTTCACTGATCTTTTGGCTACTACCTCTGTTGTCTTTTCTTCACCCTGTTATTTTTTTATAGATACTTTCTTAATGAAATTTATATAATAACCTTGGCAATTTGACCAAAAATAGGTTTTATTCTGATAAGAGCATTTTAAAACTTGTAACTGGAAAAATATTTAAAAAAAACCGAAGGTAAAGCCTTCGAATTTTTTTTTTTTTTTTTTTCAGTCAAACAAGAAAAGCATGCAAATAAAAATCATATTGCAAGACTTGCACAAACTTACAAGGGAGTTGTCCATTTCAGTATCAACATGTTCTTGCAGCATTTCACCGGCATCGGTTGATTTTATTTCATTTCCTGGATTTTCAACTCCTGAACAAGGAAAGGGGTTATTAATTAGAAACACAAATTATCACTTAAAAATCCATGGAATCAAACACTTTGTACCAGCTCAGGCTTGTGAATAACCACTAACTGAATAAAGGTGTATAATAGACTGAAGTACATCACAATGACATCCCATTTGCGTATGTATCCTTTATCTATCTCATGATCCCAATGGAATAACAAAGCGCACATAGCTCACACATTAACACACCTTGACAAAAGCTGTCTAGAACTGATATAAAACATTAAATGAGAGTCAAGATGGCTTACCAGCATCATGCTTTCCACCGCCACGGCTCCTGTGTGGAATCATTTTCTTGACACAACGCCAGCGATGGTAGTGAAGAACATGAAGCACGCCCCACATGCATCCCTGACGATTATTGTCTACTGAAATGCCAGAGCGTTTCTGCTGCAACTTCTTTCCCATTATTAACAATGAATTACTTTGGAATCCACTTCATTGATATACGAACGTAGCTATAGCTTTCCTAATTCCCAAACCTGATCAACATCGCAAAACCAGAATTAAGAAACACAACCTATCTTCAGTGAATTGCATACATTTGTACCATGCAAAGCCCCCAACTTAAACAACCCAATGCACGTCACCGAATAATACTCTGTGCACATTGTTAATTAAAGGTCATGAAAGGACAAAAACAACCATGGACTTCATAGCAATTGAGGCCATGAAAGGACTAGATTTTGTTGATTTATAATAATTATTTTGTATAAGGAGTTCTGAAATAGTTACTTAACTATAATTTGAAGGAATATGTTGAAGTAGATGGATATATAATCAACCTATTCCATGAAACAAAGCAAAAATATTCAGAGTTTTTAAATATAAGAACTACACTAATTGGCATAAATAGGCATAAAGAGAACACAGAGTATTTAGTGGGTTTCAAACTTCACATAGAAAAGGAATTATCCCCATTAATTTGATCAAATTTAATTTTTGATCTTGGATGCTGAGAAAATTTCAAAAAGATAATCGAAACAAAACATTTCACCCAACTTAAAAGACTAAGTATGTGGTTTATTTGAACAGAGTTTATAGTCACTCAAAAACGCAAACCAAAACTACAATAAAAGTGACAGAATTAAGACTTTTCCTAAGGAAAGTTCCCCCCCTTTTTTTTTTTTTTTTTTTCATTTTTTATAAAGAATCACGAACAGTATATAATTGAAACAGAGAATTAAGGTTAATAATTGGGAATTGAAAACCTAAACTTAACTGCAGATTGTCCCCCCAAAAAAAAATAATAAAAAAAATAATAATAAAAAATCGACATAAATAATATACACGCACAGACATATTTCTGCGTAAGGTCGACATTGTACCTTTTGGAAGAGAGAGATTCTGATGGAAGAAAGTAGTTGTTTTGCTCCGTTGGCATGGGGAGAGGTCCAACTTTAGAGAGAGAAAGAGGGAGTTTTAGAGAGAGAGAGGGTAGAAATTTGTTGAGGATGAACGACGAGAACTTTGGTAGCAACAAGAACGAAGAAGAAAGAAGAAAAAAAATTATGTTTGTTTGACAAATAATGGAGAGAGAAAGCAAGAGAGCAAAATTCAAGCCATCGTTTTCGGATTGGGGATTCCATTTTTGTCAGGTGAGTCGTGGTTTTTCCCACTGAAAATTCTCACTTTTTATTGGGTCTCACTTTCTGCTTTTAGCGCCATTTACCCGCCAACCGCACTCTCCCTTCCCTCTCTTATTTATCTTGTGAGCTTGTTACTTTCTAACGTGCGCCTGAATCATTTTGCTTGTGACTGCTTTTAATTTTCTGGAATTGCTGAGTATCCCATCTCACAGTCCCATCTTTGATTGATTGAAATATTAATTATGAAAGTCATCATTAATTTATTCTTCTTACTTTTATGAAACTTTAAAACATAAATTTTTAAGATTAAATTACTTTTTAAGATTTTATTTTTTTACCAAAAATAAGAGGATTTTTTTCATATAAGAAAAGGAAAGAATCTTTTCATATAAGAGGTTTTTTTTTTTTTTTTTTTTTTTTTTTTAATCATTCACGAATATGAATTTAGAGAGGAGAGGGGATAAAAAGGAAAAAATCAATTACAAAGGAAAGAATGAAGATTATATTTATATTTGTGTGTGTATATATATATATATATATACATACACATACCAAAACCGAAGGAGGAAATAATTTTAATTTTAAAGGGTAATTTTATTCTCAAAGGTTATATTTTAAAGTTCCATAAAAGTAGTAAACATGCATTAATTATGACTTTCATGATTGGTATTTCGACCTTGTGCAACTACCCCTGTCACTTCTTCTTATTGTGAAATTCATAATTCAGAATTGAAATTGGACATAATAGTATAAAATAAAATAATAAATAAAAATAAAATAATAAAATGTGAGGTATTCTACTTCTCACTTTCTATCACATTCAAGAACTGAAGGATATATTATTAGCACATGAATGGTGTAGTTTGTCAAATGATTCATTATAGGGTGTCAACAATTCCTTCACGTCTAGAAATTAATCTAAAAAAGAAGAGATATATTCACTATGAAAGGATCTAAAAGAGGGTGACTATTTTTCTTGTTAGTTTGTCAATTTTTATAAGAAACAATAAATAAAACAGGTGTTAGTTTGTCAATTTTTATAGGATAAAATGTCAATGTTTGAAGAAAATGGTTCATTTATCTCAAAGTCAGAATATGAGAATGCTAACATGATCAATATATATTCTTCAAGAGTTCAACTGCAGCTTGTGACAGTCACTGACATTAAAATATAAAATAAGAAGGAATTTAAGTAAATAATGTTAAGATCCATGTGAATTAATCTATCTGAGTTATTCATGTTGAAACTTAAACCATTTTACCTTCAATTTTAAGATAGAAAGAAAATATCACTGGATTATAGTACTTGTTTAATCCCGTTACAAATCTTACATTACGACATTTATAGGCCCAAGTGTTTGTCTTACATCATATCTAAATTGGGAAATGTTATAAAGTACGTATGAAGTATAACCCAACAATTTAAAATTTTTAATTAGAGGGTAAGTTCTATACTCTGTATAAGTGATATTAGAGGGGTTTCATGCCGAATAAGTAGGGTAATACCTTTTTTTTGTGTGTGAAAATTTGTCACTAAAAATTCAACCACACATATACGTCTTTTATTCTCTTATAATTTGTAACATTGAAAAATTTGTAGAAAGATTTCAAAAGGATAAAGAGTTTGAAAATTTATATATATATATATTTAATTGGAAAATTCTAGTAACTAAATCTTAATCATTAATTTAATGGAGAAAAAAAAAATTAAGAGTAGAGTCACATTTCTAACAAGTTTAATAATGTAAACTACTAAAATTAATAAGGAAATATGGAGTGTTGGAGAGAGATAACAATTATATAATATTAAATAGTTTGTAGAAATTGATAAATGAAAGAACTTTTTAGAAGAGATGTAAGCCTCATTCCAGAATTTTTACAGAAAAAGATCCTTTTCCTGATATAGTTGGAAGTTCCTATAACATAATAAATGACCAATCAGATAGAGTAAACTAGCAATTCTAAAAAATTAGTCGGTGCAAGTACGATTATTTATTACTGTAACAGTTTTTATTTTTATTGATAGTCGTTAACTCTAACCAAACTCGAATGTAAGTCTACCATTTCCAACCAAAATTCAAAGATTCGAATGAGAATTGAACTCAACATCATTCTCTTTCAAAAATTCTAATAAAAAAAAAAAAAAATCAGTTAAAAAAAACTGATACAATATTTAGCTACAATCATGTTTGAAAAAAATGTAATTCTCATTATCAACTTTGAGAAGGTTTTGAAAAATAATTCCAACTTGAAAAGACGAACGGCCTGTTTGATTTGTCACTCATAAAATATTATCTTTAGAAGATTTTGGAAAAAGAATCCCAACATAAAATAAAAAGAACAAACTTAAATGGTACTCAATCATTAAAAAAAAAAAACAGAAAATTATTTTTTTAAAACTATAAAAAAAAAAAATTATAATTGATATTTAGAAAATTGAATCAAGTAAAATTTTTGTACAATTTTCTGATTTTTTTTTTTTTTTCCAAGTGACGAAACAGACCCAAAATAACTCCCAACATACATTTAATAATGTTTATGCCATCCTGTTTGCAGAATGTGTATTAATTGCTTAGTTGTACAAGGAATACCTATATTTAATAATGATTTCTGAGTAATTTTCTTCTAGTTTCTTAGCAACCAAATCGTTTCCTTTCTATATTTCAATTAAACACCACCAGTAGACCATAAAATCCTTATAAAGGTGTATCGGTAGAAAAGAAATCCAATTCAGGATTAAGCCGATGGGGAACTCGTAATAGTACAAGAATGTGATTATACAAAAAGTATCACAGTAAAATTAAAATACATGAAATGGCTTGATCCAGTTGAGTACAGATTCCATGAAGCACAAAGCAGCAAATTATGTAGTTAGTCCCATCTTATGATGCCATCAACTACTGTATATTTGTGCATCTTCAATTTTAACTCCTAATCGCACTTTAGCTGAAGAGAAGATGATTTATGGTGCTGAAAGCCAAGAAACTGGGGATGAAGCTGAGCATAAACCATAAGCGAGCCAGAAAAAGTCTCAAGTGTCATCAGCTCTGAGTAAATTCCATATTGTAGCAAGTAGGATTGCAAGGATAAGCACAATCAATTTGTTTCACTACTTCCCGGTCGAAGTACCAATCGCCTACAGACTCTGCAATTGTCTGTTAAACAACCAGTAAAACAATCACTTCCCAAATCCCATTAGGTTCCAAAGAGAAAACTACTCCTGTGCCACCAAGGTACAGGTTATGGCACTCAAACATTTTCGCAGGCACCAAGCAGAGCAACTCAATTGCAAAAACACGAGGAAAAAGCACCTTTCTTGTTGAAGTAAAGTTTGGACTTGCCCAAGAATGATCTGTGCTGGTTTTCCAACATAACTGAGAGGGTATAACGGTGGCGGTATCTAGTTGCAGCAATGAAATTTGTGTTGCTTGTAGTGGGGCCGGTATGGTGTTGGTGGTGGAAGGTTTTTGAATGAATTTAGTGTCACCTTGAAAGGTTGGGTTGGGTACTACTGGCGCAGAAGTGATAAAGATGGAAGCCTTTCCATCCCCACTCCCCGCGAAAGGTGGGATGGAGGCCTTTTGCTGATAGTGCGGCCAGTGGACATTAGTTTGTTGCTAGCAGGATTCTGGGGTATAACATCGGTGAGGATTTTTCTCTACGTTCTTGTATTGAGAATTTGAGATCAGTGTTTGAATGATAAGGTTTTAACGGGAAGGTGCAGAATTGGTTGGTAGTTTGAATTTGAATTCTAATCCTTTGGCCAGGGCTTTACAACCACCTTTATGCATGTTCAAGTGTATTGGGAGGAGGGAAAGTTGGGAGGGACGGTACAGGTGCAGACTTGGACATAATAGTATCTATTTTAATTTAAAAAAAATCTCTAGAGAGAGAATATAGATTTTTCTTTCAGTATAATACCATAATCATATTTAAACAAGTGGAAGGGCATATTTTGACAAATTATTAGGTTGAGTGAATTTATTTAAGTTGAGACCTTCTCATCTCCCCAACTCCCCAAATAGTGCAGAAAGAAATTTTCCTTACCTTATTGTTGATTCTCGGAGAAATGGGAGAATGCCATGTCTCAGCCGTCCATGTCTGACAATGAATAAAGCAAGAATTTATAAACATTCCCCCTTCCTTGTTCCGCTGGAATTCTTTGAGCGCATCTAGCAATGAATTCCTAAAACCTATATCATAACTCTGATTAGCAAATCATACAGTATGGGAATACATTATAACATATTCAGATATTGCTAACACTCCTGATACTATATGAGATAAATATGAATTCCAGTTATTCACCAATCACTAAAAAAAGAGCCAATTTAAAGCTCTTACTAGGGTCGGACATGCCATGCCATGATATCAGCTGGAGCATTTATTGTTTTAAATATAAACTATGGATAAGGTGACTTTCCCATGTCATTCTATTATTATTATCATCATCATCATCATCATCATCATCATAATCATTTATCAACAACCAAACCCTAGTATTGTATTATGATGGATTTAACACCATCATTATTTTATTTTTTAATGTTTTTTTTTTTTTAATTGATAAAACAGTCTCCTATGCAGGGGTGATCACGGCACCTGCAAAACATTCTGGCCTGGTGATTCAGCATTTCCTCTAATTTTAACTTATGAGATTACTAAGATGGTAGCTTTTAAAGAGCACAATTTATTAAAGTCAGCGACAATTCATTACATTCACGAGTAAATACATATGCCATCACCTTGGAGTACTTCAATTTGGCTGGGATTACAGTCACGAATATTCAGCCTGCATTTGAACCAGCTGTGATGCAGATCCGATGCATCAGGTACCAAGATGTGTTGTATCTGAAAAAAAAAAAAAAAAAAAAAAAAAAAATTACTTTTACATGATGCTTGTAAAATTGCATCGCAGAAAGAATAAATGAAACATGTTATCTGAGGATGGATTACCTGCCAAAAATCATAAGCAGGGTTGACGAGGAAAAGTGGTGTCTTTATGTTATTAATAAATTCTTGAGGAAAGAAACACTGGCATTGTAGTTCATAACAAATAACAGTGACTGCATGTTAGATAATCAAGGTTGAGCAGCAAAACAGGAAAGCAGCTTATATATAATCAGTGATTCCAAGTGGAAGTTATGTGCAATATTGCAATGAAAAAGCTCACCTTAAACGGTTCTGTTCTTGCCATACAATCCTTGTCCAAGCCTTTTGCTACACCCTGACACCAAGAAAGGTAAGCATAGAATATCAAAAATCAGTCCTAGAAGGCTAGAATAGAATTTGCAGCATTAGTTGAAACAAAAGAGTGATTAAACGAGTGTATTTCAATTCAGAGCATTAACTGCATCATTATGATGACGAAATCGACTACACAATTTGAAGTCAAAGTTCACACATACATACTATTTACTTTGCAGTCTAATTTTATCATTTATGGGCACTATACCTGGTGTTCCCGTCACACGTTCATTATTAATCCTAATTCTTTTGTAACTACATATCATATAACTATTTCATTCTTTTGTAATTTAAAACATTCTAATTGTTTTGGAGTAGACAAATGCATAAATCCAAAATGCAAAAATATATATATGAGTATATCGATTTGATTTAAGCAATGTAAGCCATCTATTATCTCAAAAGGACCAAAAAACCAAGACCTAAGTGTCAATCATGGCCAAATATTAATTACCGAAAAATCATGGCCAAATACAGAACATCGACAATATTATAAAAACAGGAACTTGTGATATCTAAATAGAACTAAAATCTGGTATAAAATACAAATAAAGAAGTACAAAAGCTTGACGGCACAACCTGTAGGTGGACAACATCATGATAAAAAGATTCAATGGTGTGATTTCCAGCAATATCTATCCTGAAATTGACGGGAAAAAATACAAAGAATCAAATTTCATGCTTAAAATATGAGCATTCAACCATCATACATGTAGAACAAGCTTTCAACATAACTGCAGGAATCTTTTAGAACATTACACATCTTATAGGTATCCATTTTAGATTTCATTGTGGACAAATATGTTAAGATCACAAAATACATATAAGTTTATATCAAGATTAACATTGAGAAAAGGAAAAGCATGTTTGCAAAATTTTGAATAAATTGTGAAAATCTCCATCACATCCCCGCCGAAAGCTTAATTTTGAATAAATTCTGAAAATCTCAATGAAATTTGAGGAACCATCACATCCCTGTGGGAAGCTTCCTCCATAACAGTTTGTTCATGTCTTTCAGTCTTTCATATTCTCCTGGACGGGATCTAGGACTGCCACACAAGTCTTGTACTTTTTCTTCAAACTTCCAGATGTCGAGCGTTTTTAGCTGTCCATTGAGGATGGAATGAGTCAACATGGAACGGCCAACATACCAGCATTCAAGAATTTATTGTTAATTTGTAACGAGCTTTCATCGCTTCAATGTATATAAATTCTATTCTACCACGGTACCACCATGACTGTAAAAATATTTGTTTTTGAATTTTCATATTAGAATTCTATGTTAAAGTCTCTCTCTCTCTCAAACACACACTCACAAACACACATGCAGATAAAAGAGAAGTGTGAAAGATAAAGGTGAATTTTTATTTTTATTTTTTTAAAAGGAAGCTCTGTGAAAGCTTTACAGTAAAACACTCCATGCACAAATTCTTAAAAAATAATTCCACAAGAATGCCATTTCAGAAGAACTTGAAATGTGAAGATTCTTAATAAAGAGATAGCATATGGTTGTATAATGGAAACATATATGTAAAAGAACATACTGGTTAAGAAAAAAGCCTGCATCAGAAAGACACTTGACATTAGCAGCCTTTGGCAAAATTTCTCTAAAATTATCACAGTGTATAAGAGTTGCCAACCCTCCAGCAGAGCATCCTGAAAGAAGTGCCTGTGAAATTATCAAATATATCAGTAAGGAACTGCAGTTTTTTAATTAAATTCAGAATGCAGGTCAATACTTATCATCAACCGAACAAGAAAACAACATTTAAAGAAGATTTATCACAACCAGCAAAAATCACTACATTAGTGTGGATAGAAGTTCACTGCTGAAGGCATGTCAGTAGAGTAAACAATGGCACAACAGCTGTCAATGATTTCAATCTATTTTGCAAGTGTTACAGGGAGAAAAAAAAAAAAAAAAAAAAAAAAAAAAAAAAAAAAAAAAAAAAAAAAAACTATTACTTAAACCACCTCTAGAATGAAAATAGATTCAGGATTCATTTGAATCTAGAGCCACTGAGGATTTGAGGGATACAAAGTGTTTGGGTGAGCAACAACTCAGTCTTTATGTTATACTGGTACTTTTGTCGCCGATCACCATAATATTGGGCTAACTACATTGAGTAGTGAAAGTGTAATCAAGTCTAAATGACTCAAACCACCAGAATGAGAGTGACGGGAGAGGAAAATGAAACTTACCTCTGATTCTAATACCATTGATCATTAAACAATAACATGAAAATCATCTAAAAGTCTATGATTCCCAGAGTGTGTCTATTAACTTTTTAATCTTAATAAAAAAAAACAATGAAAATTTATAATTAACAGAATTAAGTAATATACTTGTCTGGCATTAGACAATCCTATTGACAAGAGTTCATCTAGTAGTGCTTCCCAGATAAGCTGGCCTCTGAAGAAGAGTTCCTTTCCATGCTGCAGCATAAAAGACAGAAGACAATTACATCAAAAATAAAATCTGTTTCTTTTACTTTTTCCCCTTCTCATTTGACATGAAGTACAAAAATGCACAAATTTTTCTATAACTTCCAACCAATCAAAAAAAAAAAAACCTCCTACAAACTTACCTTAGACTCACTTTCAGGGTGGCCAGCAAAAGATGCACCGTCACAATAACGTATCTTGACTTTGTTCCAGTTAAAGAAATCTGAAGAATGCCGACAACATTAAATTAGAAATCTGAAACTGATTGAATATGAATATTGGAGAAATTGGACTAAAGCTCATGTAAGCATTGGTTATATTTGAATAACATCAACAATAAAATGCTATTAACATTACAATAAACAAATATATATATATATATATATATATATATAATCCTACTAACTTTGAACATTAAATAGACAAAAAAGTGAGTGGTTTGTTGTTATCCCCCAGATTAAAGCATAAAACAGATTCAAAGCATTTGTTTTGCGGAACTAATGGATGACTAGAATATCTCCATACCAAATGAATAAGTTCAGACAATCATCATTTAACAAATTGAAAGAAATAAAAGGACGAAAACAATTAATGTGTATATGTGTCTCTATATACATACTTGCAGGACTAATATCACCCAACCACTTTTTGGGGTACAACATTTACAAAGTAGTTATCAATCAAGATAAAGAAAGCCCTACGCAAGAGAATGAAATTGCTAATGAAGTGCTTAAGAGATAGAAAATTGACCCAGGGATACTTAGCCTTTTCTAAAACAGTATAATCTAGGGCCAACTTATGCAATGGGTTTATCAATGCTTCCTGTTCCAAATAGTTCATCCTAGCTTCTAGCTAAATCAACAAAAGAATATAAAAGAGTATGGTTCTGAAAATTAATAACCAAGTACGCCCAGACTTTGCAAAATTATAGTTGACGTATTATCCAAAGTTTGTCCAAAATTCCAAATTTTTACAACCATTATAATCAGTTAGCATGAATTTTGTGATGCACCCAAATAAAAGTGAAATGCCATCACAAGGTCCATATCATGGCCATGAAAACTGGTTGCAGTAAAAAAAATAGGGCATTGAATGTGTAAGAGGCCATTGTTTGGTGTAATAGCAAAAGCTCAGTTTGAAAAGCATGAGAATGCAAGTTCAAGTCTGAAAGCAGACACTCTTATAAAAGGCTACGCTTGTCTCTGGTCCACCAACAATAAAGATACTCTAGGGGCACATGCATAAACATATCATGATATACTCAGAATGTAGTACAGTGCTTGTAGCGCCTAGGTACTAGAAATTTAAAGTTCTTCACAACGTTTAGACAAAGAGGATAGCCTCACCACAGGCATCACATATTTTTTAACAATGAAAAAAAAAAAAAAACGAAAAAAAAGAATCTTAAATAGTAAGCCATAAGAGTACATTTTGCACTGGTTACCAGGATTTTGTGATGGGTCATGGCCCAAAATTCCATTAAATTGAACTTGATGGTCCATGTACTTCGAAGAACCTAATGCAGTGTTCTTACGAACAGAACACGACTCTATTGTATTGCACCAACCTCCACCCTAGCAATGTAACAAGAAAAGAAGAAATATCAGTGAGGTAATCACTACCTCTGCAATTAAATAGAGTAGAGTTGACTCTGCTAATTCGATTTGTTAACAGCAAAAATGTTTTACAAGTTTCTCTAAGCATATACATACCTATATAGATATATATAGACACACTTTGTTTTGATACAAGTAGTTATCAATGAAGATCGATTCGTGTTTTAAGAACAGAGAAACGAAAATAGTAGTGAGAGAGAGGAGTGTAAACCTCAATGTGAAGAACCCAGTTCACAGAGCCAGATCCAAAGCCCTTTTGAAAATGGTATCCAGGAATACTCCCATCCAAACAAACTGAAACGAGGGGAGAAGACATGTAACTAAATAAAATATATATATATATATATATATATATATATATAAGTGCGTGTTTGTATGTGTATTGCATATGATTTGGAAAGAGTGGATTACAGGCGCCTCTGTTCTTGGCATTGCGCAACAAGGTTAAGGGGACCCAATCAGAATCAGTGGCGGAGAGATTTTTGGTCCGTGAATTGGAGAGAAGGGAGAAAACCAAGATCAGTATAGTGAATCCGACGGCTGCGATGGTCCACTCTCTTCTGGTCCATTTTCGCCACCAGATCAGACCTCGAAGCCTTTGATTCGTCATTCTAAGCTCTGTGTTAGTCAATGCACCATCACTTCGAATCCAGGGATTTCCATTGCAGAGTATTGTACTCAAACGAAGGAGCAGAGACTCACGACGTCGTTGGACCATCTTTAAAGCGTCACTCTGTTTTTTTCGTTGTTTTTAATCAAATTTAATAGTCGTATAACTTAGTATTCACTATTCACTAGTAAATGAAATATTTATGTCATGTATCAGTTTAATAAAACAAAATTTATAACGACACCACCATCATCAATATATATATATAAAATTGCATGCTGGGCATTGTATTTGGGAGTCTAGAAACACATTTAATTTTAAAATTCAATTCAGTTTAGGTTTAGAGAAAAAAAAAAAAAAAAAAAAAAAAAAAAAAAAAACCCCATTTTTACTTAAAAATAAAAAATAAAGAAAAAAGATAATATAGTTAACCTGTAACACTCTTATTTTTTTTATTTTTATGGAATGAAAAGCAAAAAGGACAGAGAATCCAGAGTAGATTAATTCATACAACCAAGTTCGCTCTAAAAAAAAAAAAAAAAAAAAATTTGCTCTAGTATAGATAAAATATATATGGAAACATCCCGAAAGCAAAAAAACCAGATCAGGTACAACCTAAAGACATAACCAACATAACAAAGTGCAAATTTTCTTCAACTGATGATTCCAAAGTAAATGTACCCAAATCCAGTTCCAATTTTGTTCCAATCCAAAATTGACAGCCACAATCTATATCCCCTTTCACATCCAATCCCACCCAAATCCATCCAGAAAATTGATTACAGCCACAAAGGAACACGAAGCATGTTTTCCCCGAACAACATTATCTAATGAGTAGCAGAACCTGCAGTGGACATAAATTACCAAAAAGTATTGAACCATAAACCAAAACTTAGTGCTCTGCTGTCCAATGCAATCCACGAGGGTGCTGGGATAGCGAGGGGCTTTCTGCCAGTTCTTTCAGTTTTTCAATATCTTTGAGTCAAGTGATGTTCAAACTTCAAATAGTAATTTGCTGAAGGCTTGTGTAAGGATCTCCTGAAGCTTTCCGAACTTTGGCATTTATCTACCATATAAACCTCTGGATCCCAGGCTCATGGTCCCAATGGAATGACCGGAACAAGAACATGATCATTGTGAAGACATTGATGGCAAGATAAAGGATTGCCATCAGCAGCCAACTCTTGTAATCATTGACGTGGGAATGGAGAACTAAGAAAAAGAATGGAATAGTATAGTATCGGAACTCTATCAGTGGAGCAGGGATAAGAACTGCAGCAGAAGCCAAGAAATATAACACCACCCAGATCTTCTTCTGAACTTTCGCTGCCAGTGAACATATAAACAAGTGTTCAGTATAATTGACACAAAGAAGAAATGATATAATGATTTGACTTTGTACTGACCCAAGATACTGAAGATGGATAACCACGAGTAAACATAAAGAGGGACCAAAAGGTACTTCATTGACCAATGAGCTTTGATGACCTTCCGCCAAAGATAAAAAGTATAATGCCGATTGTCAGCAAGAAGATAAGGGTGAGCTATGCTGCAATTTCCAGTAAATCACGTCATTAAATCTTTGAAGCATAGGTGTCGACACGAGACACTCATACAAACATGAGAAATGGACGCGGGCACATTGTCCCAAAAACAAAAATGAAATCTTAAAAGATAACACGTACACGGATAAAATTGCCACATCTTTTATCCACGGAATTACATTGCATCCAACAAAAATAACTTTTATGATATGTTAGTATAATATTTTATCATAATATTTAATGACAAGTTGATACTTTAAGAACATGTCACATAGACAAAGATATTGGAAAGGCATGACATATACACGCATACATGTCCATATACAAATATGAAATATGCATATCAGTATCTGTATATAAACGGATTATGGTAATTTCTCTCCTACTCCAATACCCACTTATTTAATAAAACCTTTCCATGTCATAATTTTCTAATGAAAGAACACAGTCAACTTTTTATAATTTCTGCCTTCTCCTGGACGTAGGAAAGTCGTATTCAAAAATTTTCAGTCACATGTTTCCAAGTGCCAAAGAAGTGTCACGGATTTTATTTTTAAAATTCTGACACATTCAAGATGAATTGAGCATGTATGGGAGCATGCGAGATGCGTCGGTATTTAACACAAAATTCTCATCCTTGGAAGTGTCTGTGCTTCTTAGTTAAACATTACCAATTTCCAAGTAATCTAGGATTTGCAGGCCATCAAAACTTGTGGAGCTAGGTTTAACCATTCAAGGGAATTGAAAAAAAAAGTATGATACGTTCAGCTCCAAAATAAATAAAGAAATAAAAATATGTAATTAGGAATACAATTGCAAAAAGATCACTAGAAAGCTGATAATCTATATCAGATCTAATTGGCGTGGAACCTAATGGCACCCATTTCACGTGCACCACATGCATGAAACAAAACCAGGACTATTAACTTTTAATCAATTCCATGCAAGTGAAAATATTGAACTTCTAGTGGAAAAACTAGTAAGTGTGCTTGTCATGTGAAGTGGCTGAGCAATCTAACCTGAAAAAATGCACTGAAAGGAAACCAGCAGCAAGGGCCACAGACCATTGAAAGAAACTCAGTGGTTTGTTCTTCCAAAATGACCAGACCATAACTGAAGCTCGACTTAAAGTGAAGTGAACTGGAGCCATAAACAGAGTAGAAACGAGACTAAAATACATTATTTGTGTAAAGTGTAGAGAAACTGCATGCGCTTCTTTTGCCCCTGCAAGATCAGGAGGCAGGGTGAGAGATTGGTCTTATGCTAGTTCTAATAATTCTTTTAAAAGAAAAATAAATTAAGTAACAACAAAAAAAATAAGATGGGTAGTACTGGTACCAAGAACTACACTCCCATTCCAATGGACAAAAGTGACAAAAGCCACCAACACAATGAAGAAGGGACCAAAGGAAACCAACAGCTCCCACTTAAGATGCCATGACTTTAAAATAATGTCCTGAAGTTCATTAAACAAACCTGCAATGAAGTTAATGCCGAAATGATATATACTGTTAGCATTGTGACAAAAGCATATACAGTACATGGGATGGAGGATAAATCACGAGATAGACCCAAGGTTGCACGTGGATATCTCCACTCCACATTAATGCCCAATTATCACACCGTAGAATGAGTTAAAACTTTTAATGACGATCAGAAAACTAGAAGCAAAATATGAAAACTCCACAATATTTGATGCATAAGTACTCAATTATGATGCCGCAACAGCAAGACTAATCTATTTGACTCTTCATTTAGTTTTCTTCCCTCTGCCATTCCCTCCAAAAAAAAAAATACACACACACACACACACATAAACTTAATTTCCAATTGACAATATTAGGGAAACCTTGGAAAAATAAGATGACATGCATTTGGTAATCATATTATCCCCTTAGGTTAGGTTTAAACCCATCAACCTGTGAGTAACATTATGGCACTTATTCTACATTCGTGATAGCAAGCACTTGTAGACGTTCTCAAATTAAGACTGAAAAATAATGATAGGGTGACATCAAGAAAAGGTTGTTTTGCTGACAATGCATTTACCATAATAATAGACTCCTCCTGAGCCATGCTAATGAACACTTAAGACACAGACGAAGTAAGGCATGAATAAAGTATACGCAAAGACGCGCTTATGGACACACACTGAATTGGTGCAACCAATAGAGTCAGAGATTAACATGCTCACAGTTAGTTGGTAGCTTCTTAGGATACCTTCTTAATCTGCCACATGTAGCATTGGTATTCCAAAGTGAAATATCTTAGTTTTATTTTTAAAAAAAAAAAAGTAAAAAAAATTGAGAAAAACAAATTGTACTGGTTTGAATATGCACTTCATTTACCCCATATTCACAAGGGAAAAAATGCAGTACTTAGAAATTTCAGCTTTGTCCTTGTATCCTATAATTTAGGGCATAACTTACTCTGACTCCTACACACCCACACTAGACATGCATATTCAATTTCTTGTATCAATCTAACATCTTGTTTCTTCACATGAACAGGGGATTTTTCTTTCTTTTTATTTAGGGCACCACTGGGTGGGGGGTTAATGGCGAAAAATGATTAAGAACACAACAATAGCAGGAGGCAAAACTATTTGTTATTGAGTAAATCAAGAGGGCACTCTGTCCACATCACACAGTCAAATAGATCAGGAAATCTTGTACTCCACTTTCGAAGATATTGGGTTGATTTTTTTCTCACTCAAATATATTTAAATATTAGTCTAAATACTCTACAGAACGGCAAATGAACATCATTACATCAAGCTATATTCATGAGAAAGACTGCAGAATATTCTATTGCAAAAAATGGGAGATGCCGCCAAATATTAGAAAGCTTGCTCTACACAAATTTGTGCAGGACTGAGACATTCGGAAGCTATAATTAGTAACTAAAATCACTAAGAAATTCATTGGAAGACGAGATTTAGAACCTGACGAACGTGTCACCAAAGGGGTGCGTGTTCTGGAAATAGCATGGTTGACAGTACCCAAAGCATTACCAAGACTTCGCTTTCTCATATTGGGGCCCACTGTGACACCTTTATTGGAAGCTAGCTGACCATCTTTCAAGACTGATACATCAGAGTCATCTAATTGCACATTATTTTTTGGAGGAGCAGCCACAGTACAATTTATAACCCCGACACATGCAATAAAAAGCATCCATATAATATTTGTCTGTCGTATGAATATGGCCAATACCCCAAGCTGCATATAAGTCGATGAACACAAGTTACTGCTTCCGTTGAAACATAAAAACCAATTTTTCATGTCTTTAGAGTATATAACTAAATTGCATGTGGGATGTAGAAACATGCACCATAGAACACTGGCATTGTAATAGAAAATAATGGAAAAAGAGAATCATGTGGCCAACCCCACTCATATGGGATAAATGCAAGGATAATGATGAAGAGAAATATGCACCATAGATCTCCTATAGTGATATAGAAGATAATGTTCCAAACTTGTGATCCGTATGTTGTTTTCTCATAATTTGGTCCTAATGCAAGTCTCATTTCAGTAGACAAACCAGAAACATAAGGAGACGGATAATGGGCCTTTTCTTGCTTAGCTAGGCCGACTGGACGAAAACGAACTCTTGAAGTTCTTTAAACTAATAACTAGCATCTAATGGGAGAAACCTGCACCATAAGTCTGTCACAGAAATTCTTTTTGCTCTCTTTGTTGCACCTGGTGGCCTGAGCCAACTACATAAAGAACAATTCCATGTCCAACTCGTGATTATAGTAAGGATTTAAAAGTACCACTACTAATGATTGGAAATCAATCTTTCAAGTCGGTGCATTAGAATTGATAAAGAACAATGAAACCCTGAGCTCTCCTTTATTGAATGAAGATCATTGCAAAAATAAAAATAGGAAGAATAAGGAATAAGAAATAAAGAAGGAAATATAAACTGTAATGGTTTCAGAAACAATAATTTTAGTGGTGCACGGCATTTCTTCATGCTGTAATTCATGTGGCAGTCAAAAATCTTCAAGGTTTAACCCAATTATTTATAAAATCCCCCTCTAAGGGCCCGTTTGGCCTTGCTGTAGCTTATAACAAGCACTTCTTCTTCTTCTTTTTATGTAGATTTGTCAAAATCACAGCCTCTGGAAGATCAAATAGCATTTGGTGAAGCAGTATATAAAGCACTTTTTACAAGTATTCTTTTTCCATAAATAGGCTCTTTCTTTATATAATTTTTTTTCTCTACTTAAGAAAAGCTCCAAATTTGAGCTTTGGTAAAGCACTACTAAGCCAAAAAAACGTTTTATTTTTTATTTTTTATTTTTATTTACCAAACACAACTAAAACAGAAATTTAAATTAAAAGTGCTTTTAGTCTGTCCAACAGCAACGCCAAGCGAGCACTAAATAAATTGAGAATCATGTGATTTATAGAAGACTTCATTAAAAGAGTGTGCCAGCAATGAGGTGATTTCAAACCAACTTGTTTAAAGAGCTAGTTAACTGGAAAAACAGGTCTTTTGTTTTACCAAAAAAATAAAAATAAAAAAATAAATAAAGTCCTTTGGTTAAGAAATAACTACCATTGAAGGTAAAAACAAAGAGTGCCAAACAAGTAACAAAAGTAGTTCAGAAAATTTGATAAAACTCATCCTTAGTAATACCTAGATAGAAAACATATCTGGAGGTATCACCACCATAATTGGAGACAACAGAAAGCATTGAAGACATAAAAGTTTGCTACAAAGGAAAATGCCTAGTAGCATTTAAGGGATTCGTATGTGTTGAAGGATATAAATATTAAAGTTACACCCTCTCTAACAGCTTAAGCTTTTAGAGTAGATGGTTGTTAACACCCTAATTAAAAATTGAAAAACATGTGTTGGACCAAAAAGAAGGCCACGCGTGAGGGGGCGTGTTGAAGGACATAAAAATTAAAGTTACACCCTCTCTAACAGCTTAAGCTTTTAGAGTAGATGGTTGTTAATAGTATGCAACAAGTTCATGATGATCAGGTGTAGAAAACTCGAACAAATGGCATCCCATTAAATTATCAACTGTGAGGGGCCATAAAAATTTGCTACAAAGGAATATGCCTAGTAGCATTTAAGGGATTCGTATGCAACAAGTTTAAGATGATCAGGTGTAGAAAACTCAAACAACTGGCATCCTGTTAAATTATCAACTGTGAGGGGACACTACTGCTGTGCCCTAGGTTTTGGGCATATAAGTATATAAAAATTAAATTCCTCAAAAATGTAGTTGAAATATTTTCATAAAAAATTGCTATAAACAGAGGACAGAAGCAAGGAACGTAGAGAAAAAAGCTGCATGACCCTGATCAATAAATTAATTATCTAGATAATTTTATAGTGTACTAATCACATATGACATAAGTTATAACTGATTCCATTACCAGTGCACTGAAAAGGTAACTCTTCTTTAGGCATGCAAGATACATAGAAAGCACTATCGTAGTTGATGCAACATCTGTATAATAAAGAAAAGTGAAGAACCAGTGGAGGGGATACAAGGCTAGAACAACTGCATATAGAGTTGCTTTTCTATCATCAAGAGTTGGCCTCAAGCAGGTGATTATCTCATAAACCAGAATGCTGCAAATTACAGCCAGTACACCATTGGTGGAGCGAAGAACGGCGGTGGAGCAGACATCTGAAAACAATGAGGCTATTTGCATACATAACATGCCTGGAAACAAAGAAGCAACATGGGCAAGTGAAACATAGTACCTGCAAAAGTATTAGATTCAATCTATCAACTTCTGTTATTACTATGTTTCTTCTATTTGGTTGATTATTTATTTATTTATTTATTTTTCTTCTAATTAGCACAAATAGGGTATCCAAGAAAAGAAAACCAAAGGCATGCCAACTGTTTCAAGTGTGAGATAGTTTCTGATAAGTTTAATATACCATTAAACAAATTCACCCAAAACACAGGTAGTCTCATAACAGAACTCCATCACACAACACTAGCACCAAAAGAATGACATTCTGAATTTGTTTTTCAGGTAGCTGATGTTTCATTTACTCGAATTCATTCAGCATTGATGTCCTTATTCCTTTATGCCTTTAGGCACTGCTTAAGTGGCATCATGGAACAACCTGATTCAGGTGTATTTGCTTTCATTTGAGAGAAAGAAATTACGAAATTGAAGAATCAATGAAGTTATTTTCTCTTGAATCGCCAGCAATGAAATGTACAAGATTTAAAAGTTTGATTTCATTTATTTTCCTATATTTTCCAAGCAACCAAACAAAAAAAAATATAATAATTTGCCCCTAATGTCTAAGATTCAAAAGTTTGATTTCATTTTTTTTTTTTTTTTCCTTAATTGGTACTCATTTGAGGAGTAGGAGCCTGGTACCGCGAGGCCACTGGCCTGTTGGTAATTTCATTTATTTTCCTACATTTTCCGAGCAACCAAACAGAAAATTATAATTACTTGCCCCCTAAACTTATCAAAACATCTTTTTTTCTCGGTATCTAAACTTAAGCCCAATAAAGTAACTATGCAAAACAACACTATGATTCACTCCCTTCTCTTCCAATATTTTCCATTCTATCGAAATTTCAACCTACTTGTGAATTGTGATGTATAAAAACATTGTCTAAAAGAAAATCAAGAAGTAAAGATTCACAAACTCACAAGCCAGGGGGAGTCGTGATCATTGGGTCCCAACTTCTGAAATTTCCTTTGCAATACTGTTGCGCCTGAGGTACATGAAATATCTCATCCTGCGCATTATATGTATATCAGCACGTGATGATTATATAGATATAACGTCTATATTTCAATTTTGAAAGATTACCATGTAAGGATCAGGGACAATGCGATTGACGATGATGAAGATGGGGATGACCCACGAGGTAACTATCACTGCAACTGCTATTCTACCCATATTTTCTACCTTTCTTCTCTCTCTCCACGATTGATCAATTACACAAATCAATCAATTAGGGTTTTTCATCCGCCCCGATTTGTGAAGTTCTTTGGTTCACCGACTAATTCTACACATACTGAGACGGAAAAAATCAACAACTCTGGGTAGAATTAGAGTCTTCTGCAGAGACAGGTGATTCGAACGACGTCGTGCATATATGGACTTGTCAATTGTCATGGCTGATGAGGCATGAGCGAATAGGACAATGTCCATTTTCTACTGGCTGCTCAAACTTTTTTCCAAAAATTAACGATTAATTTTGAAAATTTTAAAATCCAGGTTGATAAGGCTTGTTAGGGCTTGCGTGATATTTCAGTGTTTTCATTTATTTATTTCTTTTTGTAAGTAACTTAAAACCAAATACCTCTCTTTTGAGAAAGTAAAATTATCCGATTCGATTCGGTTTAGTCCGTATAGATCGGATCGAATTATTATACTCACGGATATCCTTAACTTACAGGTTGGATCATGAATTGAGTTGTTAAAAATTCAATCCGATTCGTGAAATTTATATATATATTAGTTAAATTAATTAGTTAATGACAATTTAATGAATTCTAAAGATGTATTGTATTAGTTAATAATTATTTAAATATGTGAATTAATACAAATAAATTAAAATTTTATCTATTGAGTTATGATTAAAAGATAAATAAATAATATTAATTATAAAAATAATAATAATAATGGATAATTTAGATAAAATTCAATCCGTGGATTCAATCCGATTTGATCCTATTACACGAATTCGATCTAATCCGTGAGATAACGGATTGGTGGCGAATTAAAATTTGTCTAATCCGTTGAAAGCGGATCGAATTAGAATTGATACTTAATCCAATCCGTGACCAACTCTAAAAATTATACTCTCTCCCTTTTAAAATTTATAACTATGAATTTATGGAATCAATTTCAAGTACAATTTTCAATTTAACTTTTAAAAAATAATTGACTTGATTTCATTTTAGTCTGTTTTCGATGAGAATTTTAAAAAATTAGTCTTAAGCTAAGCCCAAATTAGTTTGTTTTAGTGCTAGGTTGCGACAAGTGGAGCAGTTTACCCAAAAGTTTCACTGTCATTGAGCCTCCAGGATTAATGATATCATGTCTAAGGTAGTAAATTTTCAAATAACATCATTTTTCGGACATTTTATTATTTGTTCTTTTGTCATTTTCACATAAATGAATTCAAAGTCTGATGATAATGATTCTTTTAAGTCCATTCATTTTCAAAATTTATTTAGAGTTTCTATCCGTTTGATATAACAAATATGACTCACACTCGAGCATCAAATATGTTTAAATAGTATTAGCATGACAACATCATTGTATATATTGCACTCTTAACCAGATGAATGTGTTATCTCATCCACTTTAGTTATACAGAATGTCATATGAGAGTTAAAAATAAGAGAGATAATAAGTGTTTTTACGGTTAAGTGCAAAAATTTGCGGTATAAAAAGAAAACAATCTTACACCAATTACACTAAAAAAATAGAGCAAAAGATGATGGGTAAAATTTTCACAAAAGCAAAATGACCCCTCCCCCGAATTCTTTTCGGTTGTGAGACACATTTAAATTCAATATAAGTCCCCCAAATGCAAATAAAAAAATAAAAAAAACTAGAGGGGGGTCAAACTTCTTGAATGAAAAAAAATGAATAAAATAATTAGAATCACCCTAAAGAGAATCTCTGGCCTTGCCCTACACAAATATGATCCAGGCATATATATCATATATGTGGACATATTGCATATCAAGAACGAAAAAATGCGGATATGGTCGAATGGTAAAATTTCTCTTTGTCAAGGAGAAGACGCGGGTTCGATTCCCGCTATCCGCCCAGGATCAAGTAATTTATTTAATATGATAAAAGATTCGGTATAGTTGGCTGTGACAGTGAAGTAGTTATATCCCCCTTCCTTCCCTCCCACCCCAAAATAAAAAGTGGTAATTAATTACTAGTTAACAAAGTTAAACCTCAATTTTTTTTGTAAAAAATGTGATTTGAACCCGTGACCTCAAGGTTATGAGCCTTGCGAGCTACCAAACTACTCTACTCCGCTGAAGAGAAGAACTGAGAACTAATAGAGAAACAAGGATTGAATGCGCCCCTCTACCATATCTGTACAAATAGAATAACCCATTTATACAGAATGGTAAAGGGACCCTATACGATCGATGATCATAGAAAAGGGATATTTTAATCCTTACCAACTTGATCTTGTTGCCCCTGGCAACAAACATGCATGAACCATTTCGCGAAATATGTGTCCGGATAGTCCAAAGTCCCGGTAGTTAGCTCTCGGTCTTCCGGTCAAAAAACAATGTCAATGAAGGCGTGTAGGTGCACTATTCCGTGGGGGGGATTGTAACTTTCCATGAATTTCCCATTTGTCACTCAACGACGAAACTTTGCTTATTTCTTTTTTTGAGGATCGACGAATCAAATGATATTTCTGTTCCAATTTTTGCCTCTTCTTCTCCCTCTGAATCAAACTTTTCCTTGCCATAATGGTTCAGTTCCTATTAGTATCTATGATACAAGTCGGATCCTAGATGTAGAAATATAAGAAGGTGGACCCCCTCTCCATCAAAAGAAATGAGATTATCGCGAATACAACATACAACATATTAAGAAAAAGAATATCAAAATATTGTACATTAAGGTTCAATCCCGTGAAACTTAACAAATTCTCGAAGATAACATAATCTGGTATCTTCCCGAATAATTTCTCATAAGGTGAATTCATAGTTAGGACATGAATAGGACTACGGTTTATTCACCAAATAGTTATGTTAAATGGTTCAACCCAAAAACGCAAAACGTGTTGGAACTATACTGTGAAAAAGTACGAAATAGCTAAACCATTTTGCTATTTAATTTTTGGACAGAATTTATGATGAACAATACCATTTATCTTCAAAATATGAAATAAATCTGTTTGATGCTTTTTGAGGGAGGGATTAATGCAATATTTTTATTGCTTTGTGGAGAAAGATTAATGCTTAGAGATTGTCAACTCATATCAGTCATAATTCATAGTTGATTTCTCCATAGTTGGAGAACATTACAATCTGAAAAGTGAAAACGACAGCCCCTATCCCGAATTCAAGTTGATTATATTAACATCAAACAATTCCCATGCAGATGGGATCTATATTAAATATTTGAATATTTGAATAAGATCTCAATTCCAGGCCACGATTTCATTAGAGATATCTTCTAACTAGAATCTCTCTTTTTCCCAATCCAGTTTCTCCACCACAGCAAACCCCAGTAAGAGAACACAACATTACATTCACAAATGATGACGTCGATGAGTAGTTAGCTATCTAGATAGAATGTTTCACATTGAACAGCAGTTACCGAGTTAAATTATTCATTCATTCATCAAACACTCCCTAACAAAGAACATATATAATTATGAAACAGGGTCTGCAGGGCAACCATTTCTCAACTGCTAAATAAAAACAACAAAATCAAGACTAGAAACATTCCGGAAAATCACCCTGCCCTCTATTAGGTTAATGTCCAGACATTAAAAATAACAATAAGGAACAAGAATATGTTGAATCAAAGAACAATAATGCAAGCAACATTTTCTTTCCACAATACATTATAAATATAATACTTAATCCACCTATTTCCTCGCTCGCTCGTGTGTGATCAGAAACATTTCCTGTACACAATTGAAGGGCCAGACTCATCATATTCTGCCTTTGCAATCCACATCTGCAAAATCAAATTATCCCCATCACAAACACTGCAAAGAGCACCTTAAAAATAAAATATTGAACAGAAACCAACCTACCTGTTGGAAAATACTGAGAGATGCCAAGATGGAACCTCCGATCCAGACACTATACTTCCGTTCGGGTGGAGCCACCACCTTAATCTTCATGCTGCTAGGTGCTAATGCGATAATTTCCTTGCTCATTCTATCAGCAATACCAGGGAACATGGTAGACCCACCACTGAGGACAATGTTTCCATATAGATCCTTCCTGATGTCCACATCACATTTCATTATGGAGTTGTAAGTTGTCTCATGAATACCAGCAGCTTCCATTCCGATCATAGATGGCTGGAAAAGGACCTCAGGGCATCGGAAACGCTCGGCACCAATGGTGATTACCTGGCCATCGGGTAATTCATAGCTCTTCTCAACAGCTGAGCTTGTCTTGGCTGTTTCTAATTCCTGTTCATAATCAAGGGCAATGTATGACAACTTCTCCTTCATGTCCCTCACAATTTCACGTTCGGCAGTAGTGGTGAATGAGTAGCCACGCTCAGTCAGAATTTTCATCAGTGCATCCGTGAGATCACGGCCTGCAAGGTCAAGACGCAGGATAGCATGTGGAAGTGCATAACCTTCATAAATGGGGACAGTATGGCTGACACCATCTCCAGAGTCCAGAACAATACTTGCACAAGAAGCAAATAAAACAATGTTTATTCTTCAACATCTCTGTCAAGCCAATTCAATCAATAGTGCATTAAATATTCATGAACATCAAAATGAGCCAAATAATGTACCATATTATTTGTGAACTTAGAAAATTATACTAAGTAACTAATAATGACCCAAAAAGCATGTAACATCTTTCTTTACCCTGGGAACCTGACTTATTGGGTCCCCACAAAGGACCATCGCCCTTATTTGTTTAGTGCATCCTTCCAAAAAAAAATGCAAAAACAGATGTAGCTCTGTATTCCTCCCCATTTAATTGTCTGGCTTCACATAATGCATAAAGAGTCCAAGCAATAGGCCTAAACCCTCAACCATCAAGGCCCTTTTCACTTCGAATACTACATCTCTACTTCTGACCAAAAAAATGCTCAGTATAGCACGTGATAATCCCCTAAAAAAATAACTCATGAAATTTCAAAATCTAATTGATAATAATTTTCCAAAATAAATCTTAAATATCCATTTCCGTATTTGTGCGATGTGATTACAAATTGTCATACACTCCCATTCTCATATATAAAACAAAACAAAACCTAGAATAAACCAATTATGCACCACCATTGCAACGATTTGATTCCTGGTTTAGACATCTAGCTTTATCAACAATGAGAACTGGAAATTGCTCAAGAAAGTTTCCTGGTGAAAACATATCTTAAATACCAAATGTTCCCCTAGAAACAAGAAATGGAATACTTGATATTGAGATAACTGAACAAGAATGAATAGATTGTGCTTACCAGTTGTACGGCCACTAGCATATAGGGAAAGAACGGCCTGGATGGCAACATACATAGCAGGGGCATTGAATGTTTTAAACATGATTTGTGTCATCTTTTCACGATTGGCCTTTGGGTTTAGAGGTGCTTCAGTGAGAAGAATTGGATGCTCTTCCGGAGCCACACGAAGTTCATTGTAGAATGTGTGATGCCAGATCTTCTCCATATCATCCCAGTTACTCACTATACCATGCTCAATGGGGTATTTCAAAGTTAAAATACCACGCTTAGACTGAGCTTCATCTCCGACATATGCATCTTTTTGGCCCATCCCAACCATCACACCAGTATGGCGTGGCCGTCCAACTATGCTAGGGAACACAGCTCTTGGAGCATCATCTCCAGCAAACCCAGCCTATACGTTGAAGGTCACAATCATTAAAAGTAATTCGAATACCAAGGAGGAAAGTATATCAATATTGATAATACTCTAATCATAAATAAATTGTGTTAGTCACATTGAGTAAAAGTTTAAAGAAAAGGACTTCTCTGCTAACAATACTTCAAAAACAATTTGTATTTGATACCTTGACCATTCCTGTTCCATTATCACAGACGAGAGGCTGAATATCCTCGTTATCAGCCATCTTCTACTTCCTGCCAGAGAATTTAGCACTGCATTAGCGAGTGACAATGTAAAAAATGTACCCAGCTTCTTTCAATTGCTCATTGTCTAGAGATCTTGCAACAGGCAAAAACTAAAAGTGAATTCGCTACAATGACCACCAACAAAATGGAAATAAGATCTTTAGGAGCTTATATACTAATATTTTGAATTTTATGTAATCTAAAATCATAAATAGATTTTTAAAAGGAAAGTACTAGACGGGATTTACTCATTTAAGAGATACGGAAAAAACTGGCACAAATCTAAAGAATCAAGAAAGATTAAGATCTAATCTCACATGCTTATACTCATTTAATCTTTTTATTAGAACATGAATATACAGAAATGACTAACAAAACTCTAGTGGTCCAAAAACTAAAAGACAGGTCCTCAATGTTAACATTAGCCAACCCAAGTGATAACCACCAAAACTTTCACAGAGACTTATTATATCTTACTTCGACCATGTATATACAGAAAAATGTGAAAGCAAACACAGCTTCTGCATGCACGTTGCATCGTAAAGAAACAAAAAGCATGAAAATCAAAAAATTACATAATGTTGCAATTAGGACAGAGATGTATCCAGGGAAGAACTAACAGTGTACATGAGGTTCTGAATATAATTATATGAATATAAGTTTTCTAGGGGAAGAAATCTGAAACCTGGACAGTGTATACTTTCAATTTGAAATAAGAAATCATTTGGCCCCTAACATTGTCAAAAATATAAATCATACAGCCAATTTCAGACAGGTAAAATTTTTCTATTTCAAATTACCCAGTCTTTTTCTTTCTTTTTCCAAAAAGTGAATTTATAGATTCAAACTGGATCAGAGTACAATCCTCCTTTTTAACCTCATTCAGTCAAATATTACAAAACTTCAACATTATCCAAATTATGTGCCAAAATTAATTATAAATAACAAAACAGCCACAATTTTCCCTACATCATGTAAATAACAGATAGCTTCAAAATCAAAATCATGGCAGAATTGCACAGCACCTAATTTGAGGTGCCATCTCGAATTGGAAGTAGATATCATGATAAGCAACCAAGAAAAGACGATTCCTTGGCAGCCAATGGCAGAATTCAACTCAAAAAACTCTTGCATTGCAATAATATGAAAGGCATATATATATCTAATAATCATAAAAAAAATGGCGAAAGAACAAATCCAAATTACGGCAACGCATTCGCTAAAATTCGTGCAGTGAATACTGTAATGTATATATCTATACAGCAATTTGTTTGAATTGCAAATCCCAATATCAATCAAACAACAAATATCCATTCACATACCTAAATCAAAACCTTCAAATCAAGAACAAACCAATCAGCAGTCACGAGAGTGAAGTCAATCACATAAAAAACAATAGATCAACAACAACGATAGATCAACAACAATAATCGAACGAAAATTCATGACAATGCACCTTTCTTGATGCCCTTCTTGAAAGTGAAAGAGAACGAATGTCCTTCGGTTAAGCGCGTCACGTTTCAAAAAAAAAAAAAACAAAAAACCAAAGATTATGGTAAATGAAACGAAACTACCACCACCACCAAATGAAATGGAAATGAAAATGAAATACGCCTTAAATGAACAACAAAAGCGGTCACGCTCGGATCCCGACGACCATCCGTTGTTATATATACTGTGTGTGTATAAGTAGTATATACCTAATCTACGGTCACGGGCCACGGCTGATCTGGGGCTCTTGTGGATACAGCTGTTTGATTTACTTTCCGATTCTATAGTTGCCAAGGTTTTCATTCTCCAGCTACTACGAACAAACCGATTTGCCCCTGCATTTTCTCGATTTTTGGGTATGGGTCCTCAATCTTCCATGGAACATTTATTTTGTTTTATTTTATATTTTTAATTATTATTATTTTTTATTATATGAGGGGTAAAGGCTGGATTTTCCCATGGATCTAGTGGTGAGTTCCACCGACTCTGGCAAAAGATTAACACCCTCAGGTGTTGTATGAGAAAATTTACTGTAATATTAATTATGAAGATCTTAACACTGTGTTTGGAATCCAAAATTTGACGGAAATTAACTTCAAATGGAATTTGTCTTGTTTGGAAAATATTTTAAAAACGAATTTGTTTGAAAGGATTTTATAGTAAATATTGTAATGTAAGGAAATCAGGAGAAAAAAAGAAGGAATTAGAAAGGATTTGCTAACTAATCATTAAACTTATCAAAATAACCATTTTAAAATGGTTACAAACCATCATATTTTACCAAGTATCTATTTTCCCTTTTTAAATCCCTTATCTAAAATGGTACAATTTTTTTCTTCTCCTCAAATTCCTTTTTACAAATTTCAATTTATTCCAAACTACAAATAGATTACTATTTTAATGACAATCCAATTCCTTTTCAAATTTTATTTCCAAATTCCAAATTTTTTTATTCCAATCAAAGCGTTAGAGTTCATTGTTGATATTTATATTCCCAAAAAAAAAAAAAAATGGATGATATTGGTAAATTCTTTCAAATGTTTAGAATTAAAAATAGGACTAAAATCATAAAATCTCCTATTATTTCAAAAAAATTATCAATTAATCCCTCAATTAAAAAAACTATCATATTATCTCTTGATACTTTAAAAAGCTTGTCATATTGCTCCTCCCTTTAACTAACGAAATTAAATCACGTGATTGTCACGTGCATAATATTTCACTTAAATCTGACCACACTGTCCTTTTAATCGCCTAAGGACTAAATTGCCCCTACCTCAGTCTAAAGAATCTCTTTTCTTCAACAACAAACTCATGCTCAGTTTGGTAGAGTGGAAATGGGAGGAAAGGGAAGGGAAGATGATAGAGAGTGATTAAAAATTTGTGTTTGGGTAAAATGGGTGGAAGAAAAGGAAAGTAGAGGGAAGGGTTTGGAGGGTTATGGTCTGCTTTGTATAGTGATATGCTTATCCTCCCAGAAATGGGTGGAAATGGAAGGAAAAGAAAGGCAATGACTGATGTAATATTTTTTATGCCAATTTTACCCTCTACTCGTTACCTTAAGCTTGCTAACGGCGGTGGCCAGCTGCTGAAGCTTGCGAACGGAGAACCGAACTGAAACAACGGGCGATGGAAACTGAAAGATATGGGTTTTGATTTTTTGAACAATCTGAAATGATATGTCGATATGGGTTTTGAACTTTTGATTCTTGATAGACAGCGGCTGTAGTGCGCAGAGAAAGAGACAGAGAGAGAGAGAGAGAGACGTGAGAAGGTTTGATCAAACAAAGACCCAATAAATTGCTTCAGTCCAGCGACACCTTGTGGGTGTCACTTATCAGACGCTGATGTGGCACGTTGACAAGTCAATTCAACCCTGGCTAAATCCTCCGTGGCAAGTTGAAAAGTTAAAAGCCTCGAAAGATCTAGCACTTTAAGCCCTGGCATCGCTCCAGGCCCTCAAGCCTCGAAAGATCAAATCTCGAGCACTCTAAGCCCTGGCATCGCTCCAGGCCCTCAAGCTTCGAAAGATCAAATCTCGAGCACTCTAAGCCCTGGCATCGCTCAAGGCCCTCAAGCCTCGAAAGATCAAATCTCGAGCACTCTAAGCCCTGGCATCGCTCCAGACCCTCAAGTCTCGAAAGATCAAATCTCGAGTACTCTAAGCCCTGGCATCGCTCCAGGCCCCCAAGCCTCGAAAGATCAAATCTCGAGCACTCTAAGCCCTGGCATCGCTCCAGGCTCCCAAGTCTCGAAATATCAAATCTCGAGCACCCTAAGCCCTGGCATCGCTCCAGGACCCCAAGCCGCGAAAGATCAAATCTCGAGCACCTTAAGCCCTGGCATCGCGCCAGGCCCCCAAGCCTTGAAAGATCAAATATCGAGCACCCTAAGCTCTGGCATCGCGCCAGGCCCCCAAGCCTTGAAAGATCAAATCTCGAGCACCCTAAGCCCTAGCATCGCTCTAGGCCAGGCCCCCAAGCCTCAAAAGAGCAAATCTCGAGCACCCTAAGCCCTGGCATCGCTCCAGGCCCCCAAGCCTCGAAAGATCAAATCTCGAGCACCCTAAGCCCTGGCATCGCGCCAGGCCCCCAAGCCTCGAAAGATCAAATCTCGAGCACCCTAAGCCCAGGCATTGCGCCAGGCCCTCAAGCCTCGAAAGATCAAATCTCGAGCACTCTAAGTCCTGGCATCGCCCTAGGCCCAATAAGCCTCGAGAGGCTGATCTTTGAGCATTCCGAATCCTGGTGTTACGCCAGGCGATACCGTCCCGAGAGATCGGAGCTCCTTAGCACGAGATGAGGTAGGATCTCTGTGCTATAGGAGTCCATATTTGGGAAACTTAGGAGGATCTTGGATTGGTGGATGAGAAGTCAAGAAGTGCCTTCGCTCTTAGCAAGACTCAATTAACAAGATGATGGGATTATACACGTTATGACAGCAAACCTTAAAATCACAATTAATGCTATATCAGGCTTGACCAACCGACAGCCAAGCAGCATTTAATGCCCCTGATTAGGGGATAAGTGACATGGCAACATAGGACAAGGCTCGAGGAAAGGATTAGACCCTTCAGCCCTCTAAATCTGCAGGATTACTCGCGTAATCCGGATTAGGGGTGATGCATGCGAGAAACCATGCATAGAAGAAACCATTGGGTAATGACCAATGGAAACTCGATCTATAAATAGCACTGTCCTATGAAGAAAGAAACAACTTTCCCGAACAAAAGAAAAGCTGTTACATTGTATATTTGCCCTACCACCATCTGGATCTAGTTAATTAGTCTTTTTCTCCTCCTCCTACACTAAGCATTTCCTCTGTTTTCCTTCTTATTTGTATTACTGATATCTTTTTTTATTACTATGTTATTACTTAGCAAAAAAGAACCCCTACACACCTCAAGCCCTCTTTAACGAAACCCAATTCAGCCCGACGATGTCTCAAGCGACCTCGACCTGTAGCGACCAATATTATCTAATGAGCTTCTGAACAACGGACCGAAACG